TCTAAACGCAAATCAGTTTCCAAAGTAATCAAAGTTGCCTAAAAGGTTGCTCTAAGTGGGTTGTCTGGGTTTTTTTAAATACCTCTTAATTTACATTCCATATGAAGTTGTGGAAAAATAATAGAGATGAGGAAAATATTTCAAAGAGGGCTTCAACTAAAAGGAGGAAAATGTTATGCATTAATTATGCTTAATGTATAACACAAATTACCTTTCACCTGAATTGACTTCTAATTATATGTGACAGTTTCACAAATCTGTAGCAGATGGAAAATTAATTTTAACTCTGAAAATCCATGGATCAGAAAGGAATAAATTAAGTCAAACCTATGATAAATAATGAAAATTGAGGCACGCTGAGGGAGCAGGATCACTTAAGCCCAGGAGTTTGAGGTTGCTATGAGTTAGGCTGACACCACGGCAGTCACTCTAGCCTGGGCAACAGAGCGAGACTCTGTCTCAAAAAAAAAAAAAAAATGAAAATTGAAATAATATCAAAAACTAAATTCTCAAATATCCATTTGGCTCTTGTTAAAATGCTTTGAATTTCTCACTTTTCCTTACCAATACCAGTAACCAGTGTCCACGTGCTGATGTGTTTTGAATGTGAATGTTTAGAACATGAATTCTGTTTTCAGGGTGTTATATCTTATGTAAATTCAGCTTTTTTTTTAAATTACCTTTTTCAATAAACATAAAAGGAATGATTAAAATTAAACACATTCACGTGTCTTTTCTATACATTAGATTGGGATGATTCTTTGTGTATATGCCTCAAAAGCCAAAAACATTCTAAGTATAAAGTCAACAATGCCATGAACTACCATAAACATAAAAGGAATGGTTAAAGTTAAACACATTCACATGTCTTTTCTATACATTAGATTGGGATGATTCTTTGTGTATATGCCTCAAAAGCCAAAAACATTCTAAGTATAAAGTCCACAATGCCATGAACTACCCTCCTGATGAACTTGAGCATTCTGAACATAAATTCAAGGTCAAGGATGTGAGAAGCAGCCATGTGGTTGGTATAGAATTAGAATATAAGTCAGCTACAGCTGTGTTCCTGGTAAGCATCATCTAGGAGCCAGCTGAGACTACTCTGAAGCAGAGTTGCTGTAGAATCATACATATTCTGCAAAGTCCCACAGCCTTCTATTTTACCTTGTGGATTAAGCAAAGAAATGGCACAATAAAATAAATTTTACACATTCTCTCCTGGGTACTCTGAGACTCAGAAAAAGTCTACCTTAATTTAACCCTTGGAGAAAAATCTCTTTCTCCTTTTATGTGTCTAAGAGACACGTCCCCTTAGATCTGTTCTGGATGCCAGTGTCTCTATTGATTAATCCTGCATGCCAAAGGACAATCACAGTGGCCCAAGAAAAGATTTTCATGGCAAATATACCCTAAAGGAGACTGCTGGTTTCCCAATTGTTTACTTTTTTGGCTGGAAAGGACAGGAATAACCATTTCTCACTAAATAATTATTATTTGCTCAAGTTTCAGTGACTCCCCTGGCTTCATGCTTGCTGCCTATGATTCGATCAACTTAGTCTTTTTTTCTTTGAGAAGACTTCTCACCATCAAGACAAATGCTGCCTCTTAAGGCTATTTTTCTCTAACAAACTGAGTGCAGGCCATAAAGATCTTCAATAGCAATTAGGTTTTAGTGTTCTCATCTCACTTATGTACATAGGAGACATCAAAATGTAAAATGCACATATACTCTGACTTAACAATTCCCCTCCTATCTAGGAATTTATTCCAGATGTGTTCATGAAAGGGTGCAAGGACACATGTATACCAATACTAATGTGCAGCATGATTTAAAGTGGCAAAATAATGCGTACAACCTATATACGAGACTGGTAAAATAAAAAATGATGTAACCATATAGCACACAGCAGGACAAGCATATAGATGCTATCCCTGCATGTTGATATGGAATGATCAGTACAAAAAGCAAGATGGGAACAGCATCTCAAGTATGCTACCATATGTATTTTTTAAAAAGGAAATATATATCTATACATATGTGTGGGTAGGTGGGTATACACACAAACATACACACACACACTCACAATCGCTGAATGAACAACAAAAGAAATAGATAACACATTGGGAGGCAGAGGACAGAGGATATCCTGAGGCCAGGAGTTCGAGACCAGCCTGAACAACATAGCAAGACCCTGTCTCTACAAAAAATTAAAAAATTTGCTGGATCTGGTGGCATATACCTGTAGTCCTAGCTACTCAGGAGGCTGAGGTGAGAGGATGACTTGAGCCCAGGAGTTCAGACTGTAGTGTGCTATGATGGTGCCTGTGAACAGGCATTGCACTTCTAGCCTGGGCAAAAGAGCAAGACCCCATCAAAAGGAAGGAAGGAAGGGAAGGAAGAAGAAAAGTAGGAATAAATGGATAGATCAAGGTAGTTGCTTCTGGGGAAGGGAACTGATATGAGGTGGGAACATAGGAGAGGAAATTCTGTACCTTTTCTGCAGGGCTTAACTTTTCACCCTGTGAATACAGTTTTTTAAACGCATGCATGCATGCATGTGCGTGCACATACACACACGTGTACACAGACACACACACACACACACACACACACACAAAGAACAGCTATCAAAGAATTAACCTTGCCAAGGCTATCTAACAGTGGCACCTACTGGTAAAATCACTTCCTAGCCCATGTTATATCTTAGAAAAGAAAACTCATAGTTTTCCTGGCACAGCCATTTCAGCTATTAGTGAGGAAATATGTTTATATTAAAGGCTCATAAGGAACTCCTCATTGGTATTAGGCCCTCTGAGCATAAGACTTAAAAGTACCATCTGGCTGGTAAGTTATGGTTCATTATGATTTGAATTGCAAGCTATAAAAAAGAGTGAAGAATATTTCTACATCCTTCCATGCGGTGATCTCCAGCATATAGCATTAAGTTAAAAAAAAAAAAAAAAGCAAGGCAGGAAAACATGTGCAGAGTATACTACAATTTATCTAAGAAGAGGAAGGAGTTAAAAATGGACCTACAGGTTTACTTATATTTAAAAAATGGAAAGATAACCCAAGGAAGGAAAAAAAAAAAAAAGAATGAATGGTTACCATAAAAAAAGAGAAGGAATAAAACTAGATTTCTCTAAATCAGTGATTCTCAACCCTGCCCCCAGGGAACATTTGGCGATATCTGGAGGTAGTTTTAGTGTCACAATTAGGGGAGATGCTACTGACATCTAATGGGTAGAGGTCAGAGATGCCACCAAACAGCCTACAATACATAGGACAGCCCGCACATACAAGTATCACCTGGCCAAAAATGTCAATAGTGCCAATCATATACCTGATAAGGAGCTTGTATCTAGAATATATAAAGAACTCTTACAATGCCATAATAAAAATACAAATAATCCACTTTACAAATAGGCAAAGGATGTGAATAGACATTTCACCAAAGAAGATATACAAGTGGCCTATAAGCACATGACAAGTTGCTCAACATCCTTACTCATCAGGGAAACACAAATCAAAACCACAATGAGATACCACTACATACCCACTAGGATGTCTATAATCAAAGACAGACAATAACAAATGTTCACAAGGAATTAGGAGCCTCCCGTATTGCTAGTGGGAAAGTAAAATGTTGCAGCCACTTTGGAAAACAGTCTGGCAGTTCCTCAAAGGGTTAAACATAGATTTACCATATGATCCAGCAATTCCACTCCTAGGTAAAATGAAAACATACATCCATGCTAAAACCTACACATGAAGGTTCATAGAGGCATTATTCATAATAGCCAAAAAGTAGAAACAACCCAAATGTCCACCAATGGGTGAATGGATAAATAAAATGTGGTATACCCATACAATGGAATATTAATCAGCAATAAAAAGAAACAAAGTACCAATGAAAGCTACAACATACACAGACCTTGAAAACATTATGCTAAGTAAAAGAAACCAGTCACAAAAAGCTATATGTTATATGATTCCATTGATATGAAATGACTAGAATAGGCAAATCTATAAAGACAGAAAGTAGATTAATAGTCACCTATGGCTAAAGTGATAGGAAACTTGGGAGTTTCAGCTAAGGGGTGTGGGGATTCTTTTTGGAATAATAAAAATGGTCAGAAATTGATTGTGGCAATGGTTGCAAAGATGTGTGAATGTGCTAAAAGCCATTGGATTATACACTTTAAATGGCTATATTTTGTGGTATGTGAATTATATCTCAAAAAAAAAGCTGTTTAAAAAATCAGTCACAATTGTGAGGTGCATGCCCTATTAGAGGTGGGAGCCTCGTAACCTAGTTGTTGGGGTTTCTTTTCTTATTAAATTTTTCACTGGTTTTATTGCAATTCCAGAGAGATGGAGATTTGGGGCAAGGGGACACCTCAGGCTACATCTGAAAAAACTAGTTCAGATTGTCCAAACATAAAACCCAGAGCATGGGAGGAATCAGGATGTCATGGGATGAATTAGCAAAGCAGGTGGCAGAGTACAATGGCCCTCGGGACCCAGCCAAGAATCCCGGACTGAATATTCGAAGGGAAAAGGGATGGGTGGGAGATGCAGGCTGGCAGCACAGTGATGGACACTTTTGTTCTAGAAAGATAGATGACCACCAATGTGGAAAATAAGCAGACTGGGGACGAGTCTAGAGACAGGACAGCTCATGTATTTATACTACATGTTATAAGTTGTTGTCACAGCCAATTTAATCCTTTCCTAAACATTAAGCTTGAAAACTGCAGCAAAGAGAAACCGGTACGGGATTGTATCTGTCTTCAAGGCACAAGTGACAAGAAGGACTATTGAGAACAAAGCAGTTTGACATAAAAGTAACAATCATAATAATAAAGTCATATATAACTTAAAATGTTCTAATGTAGTAAAGAAAAAATCATAATAATAGCCCCGTATGAGTTTAGGCAAGGATCAGGAACCAAATGACAATGACTGGACCTAGAAAGATAAACAAGCCACTTACCACAGGAACTGGGGTGTTTGGCTCAAATTCTGTGGAATGAGCATCTGAAGATTTAAAAAAGAGGTCAGTAATTCACCAATATTGCTGAATAATATTTGAAGTGATAAAAAATAATTTTTTTAAATAAATGGTTATTAGCAAACCTCCAACTTACCTTTCAAGTTAAGGCAATTTCTGGCAAACTCTATCACTGCTAGTTGCATCCCAAGGCAAACTCCTATTTTCAAAAGCACATACACAAAGCAAATGAACAAATTGTATATTTATTCAGATTTTCTGTTCATTTGTTCCCTGCCTGTCCCCTCCACCTAGAAAGCAGATTATGAGAGACCAAGACCCTGCCTGGTTTGCTCCCTCCTATCCCCTCAGAAGGTCCCTAGCAGACAGCAGGACAGAAACTCAAACTACCAAGAAGCCACCTAAGGCCTGGAGTTGACTAAGAAGAAACTTGAGGTCAGAAAAGGCAGAAAAAGGCCGGGCGTGGTGGTTCATGCCTGTAATCCTAGCACTCTGGGAGGCCAAGGCATGTGGATCGCTCAAGGTCAGGAGTTCGAAACCAGCCTAAGCAAGACCAAGACCCCGTCTCTACTAAAAATAGAAAGAAATTAATTGGCCAACTACAAATAAATATAGAAAAAATTAGCCTGGCATGGTGGTGCATGCCTGCAGTCCCAGCTACTCGGGCCCAACTACTCGGGAGGCTAAGGCAGGAGGATAACTTGAGCCCAGGAGTTTTGTTTTGTTTTGTTTTTTTGAGACAGAGTCTCACTCTGTTGCCCGGGCTAGCGTGCCCTGGAGTCAGCCTAGCTCACAGCAACCTCAAATTCCTGGGCTCAAGCAATCCTCCTGCCTCAGCCTCCCAAGTAGCTGGGACTACAGACATGCGCCACCATACCAGGCTAATTTTTTCTATATGTATTAGTTGGCCAATGAATTTCTCTCTATTTATAGTAGAGATGGGATATCGCTCTTGCTCAGGCTGGTTTCGAACTCCTGACCTCAAGCAATCTGCCCGCCTCGGCTTCCCACAGTGCTAGGATTACAGGCGTGAGCCACTGCACGCAGCCAAGCCCAGGAGTTTGAGGTTGTTGTGAGCCAGGCTGACGCCACTGCACTCTAGCCCAGGCAACAGAGTGAGACTGTCTCAAAAAAAAAAAAAAAAAAAGAAAAAGAAAAAAAAAGTCCCATTTCATCTGGCTTCACTGGTACAAGGGCCATGTTTTGCAATTTGAACAAAAGCATTAAAAAGGCCCAACCCTGCCAAATCTTAATGGAGCTGTTCCTGTGAACCTGGATGGTCTTTCTGCATTCTCTTTTCCAGAATGAGCACATGAGGTGCAACTAACTTAAACAGGTTTTCTTATCGGAAAGACCATTGTGGAATTCCATTGAATGGCTCTCTGCTTGAAGTGGTGAGGGCACGGGTTGGGGCGGGAACCTAAGAAGGCAAGAGCAAGTACAGCAGAGACTTCCCCCAGCCCCTGCCACCCTGCCAGGACAATGGCAAACATTTCTTGTGAAGGGTCAGATAGTAAAGATTCTAGGCTTTGCAGGCCATAGCCATTGCCCTACCAAAGCACCCACAGACAGTATGCAAATAAATTGGTGTGGCTGTGTTCCAATAAAACTTTATTTATAAAAACAGACAGCCAGCTTGATCTGGCCCTTGGAATATATAGTTTGCTGACCCTGTAGCAGACTATTTGGAGCCTGAATTTTCAAACCTGAGTTCACACCTTCACAATAACAAATCTTCAGTATTACCCCTAGTAGGTTTCACAATCTATTAATAATAGGATCAATAAACATGAGTTTTACCCAGAAAAGGAATCTTCTTTGCCCTTGCCCAAGAAATCGCCTGGAGTTTTCCCAGTGTTCCTCTGATTCCAAAGCCTCCGGGCACAAGAATACCACTGAAATCAACACAAGATGAGGGTAAATTTGACTACCCATTATTTTTATTTTTAAAACTTGTGTTTTCAGCCTTTCATGCAATGCTTGGTGCAATCACTAGTGAATATGCTTGAGGTCTATTTTCAGAATCGATTACATGATTTCACATCCTGAACTTTCTTCCTGAATTCCTCCCAATGTTATGAAAAACTTGAGACAATTACTCACAGCTGACTTTGATATGTATTTTCTGATAAGTCTTTGTGGTGCCAGAGCATAGTAACTGGGAAACTCAATTCAATTAAGAATGCCACTGAGAGGAAAATCTGAATAAAAATAAGTGAAGGTTCTTTCAAAGCACTACTATAAAAATGTTAAGAACTCTCACATCATCACAAAAAGTGAAATGCATAAAATCAGCCTAAGATTTCAATTGCTAATTAAGCAGTGGCAAATGAAATTTCCTGGCTAGAAGACAATTTAGAGACCTTCTAGGCCAGGAGTCCTCAAACTACGGCCCATGGGCCACATGCCGCTCACCTAGAACATTTATCTGGCCCGCCGGGTGTTTTTGCCACCGCTGCCTGTCCTGCTTAGCAGCCGACTCGTCCTGGGCCCACAGTGCGCACTCTCCAACGGTCTCAGGGACAGTGAACTGCCCCCATGTTTAAAAAGTTTGAGGACCCCTGTCTAGGTAAACACTCTCAGATGAAACCAGGAGAGTAATGCTAAATTCACGACACAATGCTGCCCCCAAGAGTTCTGTCGATTACTTACAAAATAAAACCTGGAACCAAAACATGTGAAAGAGAAAATATACTCAAGACAGGTTATCATTCTTGTACTTTAACTTTTCTTATGTAAGATCTCTGTATCTTTCAGTAGAATCAACACACTTTCCCTACAATACAATACTCCCATTCTCCCCAAATAAAACCATTTCCACTGCACATCCCACCAACATTAACATGGCACGATTCAAAGCAATGCAACACAACCACCTGCAAAGACTGTAACTACTCTCAACTTCCTTTCAAAATGCATGGAAATTAGTAAATGGGATAAAATGAATCATTATGGGAAAAGCACAATGGCATTGTCCTAACTGGTGTGCATGGTCCCTGGTACTCACTCAGCTTTGCATAGCTTCTGCCAAGCTACGTGGAATTTCACAGGGTCCTCGGTTTCAGTGATCTGCTCCAGATCGATGGAGTCTATGTACTAAAAAACAACCAACAGATAAAAAAAAAAAATTAAGAAAAACAAACACTGAAAAGTACTAGCACAATGTAACTGTGACACAAATACTCATTCATTACTTATTATGCAAACACTGTACTAGGCACTGGGGATAGAAAAACACGATCTCTGTCTTGTGGCTATTGTAATCTTTCAGGAAGATTATGAAACCAATGAACAGGCGTCCACACTGTACTGTGACAATGGCTGTGATGGCAAAGGTGGGAATGCTGTGGAAATAACTAGGAGCCACATCTCATCGAGAACTGGACACTGGAGGAAAGAAGGGAAAGAGCGAGGTCAGGGAGGAGTTCTGGGGAGGTGACATCCAAAAAGCTGAGCCACTAGGATGAGTAGAGGCAGGATAAGCACAGAGGTGCGTGTTGGAAGGTCCCAGGGAACATGCGTGGGAGATGAGGAGAGGTGGGGAAAAGGTCATGAAATCTGAGGCAAAGAGATTTAAGGGGAACCAGTCCTATGAAATCTAAGAGGAAAGGCAGAGCAAGTAGTGGCCACTCTGGGACCCTCGAAACAGGCTCCACTCAGTGAAAGGAAGAGACTTGATTGGTTGGGAGGAAAGGGGTGAGGCTGAGAAGCCATGACACCAAGTTTACACTTAAAGCCCCTTGCAATGCACTGAATGTTTGTGTCGCCCCAAAATTCATATGCTGAAATCCTAACTCCCAAGGGGATGATGATATTAGAAAGTGGGGTTGGCCGGGCACGGTGGCTCACGCCTGTAATCCTAGGCCGAGGCGGGCGGATTGCTCGAGGTCAGGAGTTCAAAACCAGCCTGAGCGAGAGTGAGACCCCAACTCTACTATAAATAGAAAGAAATTAATTGGCCAACTAATATATATACAAAAAATTAGCTGGACATGGTGGCACATGCCTGTAGTCCCAGCTACCTGGGAGGCTGAGGCAGAAGGATCGCTTGAGCCCAGGAGTTTGAGGTTGCTGTGAGCTAGGCTGATGCCACGGCACTCACTCTAGCCTGGGCAACAAAGCGAGACTCTGTCTCAAAAAAAACAAAAAAAAGAAAGAAAAAGAAAGTGGGGTTATTGGGAGGTGATTAGGTCAAGAGGGCAGAACCCCCGTGAATACAGTCAGTGTCCTTATAAAAGAGACCACAGAGACCTCCCTTGCAGCTTCTGCCACACAAGGATAGAATCAGAAGCTGGCCATCTGCAACCCAGAAGAAGGAAGGCCTTTGCTAGAATGGACCCTGACCTTGGACTTCCAGGTTCCAGAACTGGGAGAGAGAAATGTCTGCTGTTTGTAAGCCACCCGGCCTATGGTACTTCGTTGTAGCAGCATGAACGGACTGTAGCACCACTGAAAGGTCTTAAGTAAAGGGATGACAGGAACAGAGAGAGCTGAGTGGTTTTAGAAAGATCACTCTGGTACAATTTGGAAAATAGAAGGAAGACTGGCAGCTGGAAAGCAGCCAAGAAGCTGCTGCAGCCATTCAGACAAGATAAACAGAGACACCCTGTCCTTAACAGGAATATGACAAGGTCATGATTCCAACAGTCCTCAGTAGAAGCTAATGTCACTGAGATAAAGCATCATATACACCAATTCCATTGTACCTAAAAATCTCTATGCAGCTAGATTATTTCAGTATTTCTTTAATGAAAATGACTATCTGAATATATCTTAGGACACAAAATTTTAGAACCTTTATAAAATTTGCATCATGGCCATTTTTCTAACTTCATTTTCTTTTTTCTATACGAGGGTCGGGGCCGTGGAGGAGTGGGAGGAACAGGAAGTGAACTGTTCCTTGGAAAGCCATAAATAAAAGAGAGAAAGAGGCTAAAAAGGGGAGAGAGAACAGTCAGCCAGGACTTAAGCTAGTGTCGAAATGGAAGTCACTAAATTTCTTCAACATCTAAATGGATCTTTTTCCTGATCATACAAAGGTTTTGCCATTTGAATCAAAAGGATAAGGCTTGCTTAAATCATGATATATGCGTATTAAATATCATTAAATAAAAATTTGGATAAGCACAGCCTAATTTCAGAAATGTGCCTTAAACCTGCCTGCAGAAAACAGTTAACACAACAGGCCTCACTGCTGTCCTCAGAAAGGCTTGCTACAAGGCTGGTCCTTGGTTGGCATCTGGAAACTTGGATTTGGGGAGGGGTCCCACCACTCCAAGAACTGGTAAAAGTGGCTCATTATGTCTAAAGTGTTTGTACAAACACCATGATTTACACTGAGCATGTGCTTTCCTGTTGGGAGTCTGGAACTTTGGTACATGTTAAGCAGAGGGTGCCTAAGCGACTAGCCCCCCCATAAAAGCCCTAAGCACTGACTCTCTAATAAGCTTCCCTGGTAGACGGCACTGCACATATATTATCACAACTCACTGGGGAATTAAGCTCAATTTATGAGGCTCCACTGGGCAAGGGCTCTTGAAAGCTTGCACCCGGTTTCTCCCAGATTTCGCCCTGTGCAACTTTTCACTTTACTGATTTTGCTTTGTATCCTTTGGCTATAATAAATCTTAGCCCTAAATATGACAATGTGTGAGTCATTCTGGTAAATCATAGAAACTAGGGGTGATCAAAGGAACCCTTCAACACAACCCGCCTCTCTGGAACACGAGATATTGGAGTAAACGACTGAAGCAGCCAGAAGACTAGGCTAGGACTCACCATCAGCTTCAACTTGTGGTTGATGGCCAAGGCTGAGTGCTCCAGGGCTTTGAACACGGAAGCATAGCAGTCCCTGAGCTTGGTGTATTTGCCAACCAGGGCTATGGAGCATGTTTTCTGTAACCTTTCATATCTGGGAAGGAAGACAAGCTCAAAGGTTATATGCATGTAACAGAACTTCACCGACATAACAGTGGCAGCCACCACTCTTATTCCAAGGCACTTTTTTTTTTGAGACAGAGTCTCACTCTGTTGCCCAGGGTAGAGTGCCCTGGCGTCAGCCTAGCTCACAGCAACCTCAAATTCCTGGGCTCAAGCGATCCTCCTGCCTCAGCTTCCCGAGTAGCTGGGACTACAGACACACACCACCGTGCCTGGCTAATTTTTTCTGGTTTTAGTTGTTTGGCTAATTTCTTTCTATTTTTAGTAGACACGGGGTCTTGCTCTTGCTCAGGGTGGTTTTGAACTCCTGACCTTGAGCGCTCCTTCCGCCTCCCCCGCCTCCCATAGTGCTAGGATTACAGGTGTGAGCCACAGCGCCCAGCCCAAGGCACTTTTTAAAACCTTGGGAGCAGACATGCCTTACACTTGATGTACTTGACTGAACCACCCCCCTCTCAAAGAACCAAAATCTGTTTTCCAAACAGATTTCAAAATCATAAGAAATTCCAATGTTGGCTTACATAAGCAGATATAAATCTGAGAAAGTAAATGAGAGAAAAAGTTAAAAGCATTAACAATAAAAAATTCAAAAGCCATCTCCATTTCATAAACATGAGCTGTTCTTAAATTATTATAATAGTTTATAAGGTGACATTGTGTAAGAAAAATGCATTCTGCTTGTCAATAGGAAACATTCCAATATTAACTTTGTAAGGTGACATTGTATAAGAAAATGCATTCAAAGTGTCTGCATTTAAAATTGTTACATTCCCAGCTGGCCCACAAAAGTCTGGTTATTCACGGCAAGCCTGAAGAATGGTGCTAAGAGAACGATTTAAAATATTACAAGCCATTTAGATCATTTTTATGAGAAAAATTCCATTCTACAGAAGACACTCAATCACATTTTACCATTAGAGTACAATCTTTAGTGTTGCTTTTGTCAGGAAATCTGCCCAAAGAACATGAAATATATCTGATCTGGTATTAAGTATGTGGAAATGTCATCTTGGGGCTAAAGATGTTTTAGGGCCTTGAAGCAAACCCTTCCCCAAACACCTTAGAAAAATGTTACCGTGATGAGGAATCTCCCTGTTTTGTATCAACATCTGCAAAGAGTGCAAGAGAAATGGGATCTCAAAACAGGCTGCGTGCAGAAAGACGCGCAAGCAGCTAAGAAGTCAAAAGTGACAGGAAAGGTGACTTTCTAGGAAGGTGACTAAAGAACCCGAGAGGAGGCTGTTCATCCCTATTACTTCATTTTATGTTGCTCTGGAGATACTGCAGCTGCCTGTGCCTCATACCACCCCCCATTAAGGATATAGGGAACAGAAAGCAAGCTGATAGCAAGCCCAGTATCAGAGATGACGTCAGAGGCAGGCAGCCCCGTCACACTTGAGCACAGTCAAGGAAGAAGCAGCTAGATGGAGTCGATACTATCGCTCACTCAAGTCCCGTCTCCCCAGGTGTGGATAGGACAGGTGAGTCCACTGGGTCCCATGTCCCAGGGAGGCGGGGCGCTTGCCGGAAGGTGCCCTGGGCCTACTCTCTTACTCTTGTGAAGCCTCAGGCTAAGTGCTTTCTTTTAGCTCATGTATATTGCTTGTTTTTAGGAAGTTGGGTTGAGTGGGCTGATCGCAATAAATTTTGGGATGAAACAAAAGGGCAAGCGCATGGGCACAAGGGGCCAACCAATCAATGTAAAGGGCAAGCGTGTGGACAGGTTATGCACCTAGGGTATAAAGGGCTCCTCCCACAGTGCACTGGGTCTTTGTCCCAATAGAGGCCGCCGTATTGGTGCCCTGGGACTTAGACCCTAGCTCGAGCTAGTCAATAAAACTCCTTTTGATGATTTCAGCCTCAGTGACCCTGTCTCTTTGTTCTGTGGTCCTACGGTTTCCTGCTCTAACACTCTCTTTCCCTCTTGGACCCACAGGTGTCTCTCTTATGTGCCCCATCGGCCAGTGGCCCTCAGCTTAGTGTGTGAGGGAAGCTTCAGACACCACTGGGAGCTGCTTGAGGACAAGGAGGGGAGTCGGCTTTGCAGGCCCATCCCCCACAGGCAGAGGTGAAGGGGGGCCTGTCTCAACCTTGACCTCAGGTCCCAAGCAAGCTCCCCAACCTCATGTTCACCAGAGCCCCTGGCCTCTGAGCAGCACTGGCCCTCCATGATGAAGGCTGCTCTTCTGAACTCTGTTTGCCTCCCTCCATCTCTCTACAGGCTGTACTGAGGTGACAGCAGCAAGAGAACGCACACTGCACACTGCCATTACCAATTAACTGCCATTACTGCCAACATGACGCAGAGGGACCAATGTACAATACCTCCTATGCTTGAGGACTATAGTGAGCTGAATGACAGTCCCCCTAAAAAAATTCATCCCCCCAAACCTGTGAATATGATTTTGTTTGGAAAAAGGGTCTTTGCAGGCCGGGTGTGGTGGCTCACACCTGTAACCCTAGCACTCTGTGATGCCAAGGCGGGTGGATCCCTCAAGGGCAGGAGTTTGAAACAAGCCTGAGCAAGAGTGAGACCCCATCTCTACTATAAATAGAAATAAATTAATTGTCCAACTGAAAATATATACAGAAAAAACTAGCCGGACATGGTGGTGCATGCCTGTTGTCCCAGCTACTCGGGAGGCCCAGGCAGGAGGATCACTTGAGCCCAGGAATTTGAGGTTGCTGTGAGCTAGACTGACGCGATGGCACTCTAGCCTGGGCAACAGAGTGAGATTCTGTCTCAAAATTAATAATAATAAAAAAAAAAGAGTCCTTGCAGATGAAATTAAGGCTCTCCAGGTGAGATCATCCTGGATTAGGGCAATCCCTAAATCCAATGATAAGCATCCTCACAAAAGAAGAGAAGAGACAAGGCCGGGCGCTGTGGCTCACGCCTGTAATCCTAGCTCTTGGGAGGCCGAGGCGGGCGGATTGCTCGAGGTCAGGAGTTCAAAACCAGCCTGAGCAAGAGCGAGACCCCGTCTCTACTATAAACAGAAAGAAATTAATTGGCCAACTGATATATATATAAAAAAAAAAAAAATTAGCCGGGCATAGTGGCGCATGCCTGTAGTCCCAGCTACTTGGGAGGCTGAGGCAGGAGGATCGCTTGAGCCCAGGAGTTTGAGGTTGCTGTGAGCTAGGCTGACGCCACGGCACTCACTCTAGCCTGGGCAACAAAAAAGAAGAGAAGAGACAGAGACAGGAGGGAGAAGGTGACATGAAGACAGAGGCAGAGATTGGAGTGATACGGCCACAAACCAAGCAATGCCAAGCGTTGCCACCAGCCACCAGAACCTAGGAGAGAGGCGTGGGACAAATTATTCAGAGGCAATTCCTGTGGATGCCTTGATTTTGGGCTTCCAACCTCCAGGACTGTTAGAAAAGACATTTGTGTTGTTTTAAGCCACCCAGTTTGTGGTCATCTCTCACAACAACCACAGGAAACAAATATAAAGGCAACACATTTGGCTTTACAAAGCATACAGTATAATTTATAGCTATTCCCAAGAAAAAGAGTTAAAATATTAAAATTTCTAGTGCTTAAAGAGGATCAGCCCCAAACTACTCAGAAAGTTCCTACAAAATGAGTGATTTCATAAGCATATCATGGAGGGCAGGGGATTAATTATATCATCACGCATTAGAGAATCTAACTTTAGAAACTGCACTTTATTCCCAATTCAATTTTTCCCAGAAAGGCTGAAGCATTTTTTAAAAACTTTAAGTGAAGCTGGGTGTGGTGATTCACGCCTTTAATCCCAGCACTCTGGGAGGCTGAGGTGGGAGGACCTCTGAAGGTCAGGAGTTCGAGACCAGCCTGAGCAATAGTGAGACCTTGTCTCTACTAAAAAAATAGAAAGAAATTAGCTGGACAACTAAAAAATATATAGAAAAAATTAGCCGGGCATGGTGGTACATGCCTGTAGTCCCGGCTACTTGGGAGGCTGAGGCAGGAGGATCGCTTGAGCCCAGGAGTTTGAGGTTGCTGTGAGCTAGGCTGATGCCACGGCACTCTAGCCCAAGTGACAGAGTGAGACTCTGTCTCAAAAAAAAACTTTAAGTGAAAGAGCACAATAACTTCAATTTGATTACTCATCTACCAAGGTCAGTGGTTTTGTCACCATCAAATATGACTTTAATTATTGTGACCAACATCACCAACCAATGCTTAGTGCCTAACTCCATGTTAAATCTTTACATGTTTTCTCTCATAACTGCCGCTAGGTGGGCACTGGTATCCCACATTATATATGGACAGGAGAATAAGCCCAGAGAGGTTAAGTAATCCATCCAGATTCACACAGCTAGTAAGAGGGAGAGCCGGGATCTGAATCCAGAACCTACATATGTAACTGCTGCACCCACTGAGTCTGTCCTAAGCTGCACAAGAAGTTGGGCAGCCTAGGACCGTGCATCACACTTCAACTATGTTTAGTAAAAGAAAACTAGTGATGGGGGTTTCATTTCCATATGACTTCAAATTAGACAAAACTTGCTTAAATCCAGCCCAGTGCGGTGGCTCACACCTGTAATCCTAGCACCCTGGGAGGCCGAGGCGGGAGGATCGACTGAGCTCAGGAATTCGAAACCAGCCTGAGCAAGAGTGAGACCCCCGTCTCTACTAAAAAAAAAAAGAAAGAAATTAATTGGCCAACTAAAAATATATAGAAAAAATTAGCTGGCATGGTGGCGCATGCCTGTAGTCCCAGCTATTCGGGAGGCTGAGGCAGGAGGATCACTTGAGCCCAGGAGTCTGAAGTTGCTATGATCTAGGCTGATGCCATGGCACTCTAGCCCATGAAAGAGTGAGACTCTGTCTCAAAAAAGAAAAAAAAAATCACATTACCTCCGCCTCAGAAATTTTAAAAAAAAAATTAAAAAAAAAAAAAGAAAAAAAAACTTGCTTAAATCCATATGGCTGTCTTAAAACTAAAACCTATCAGGAGTTTTAATAAAGACACTGAATAGTTAATAACTGCAGAATGGAACAATGGCATGGCCAAAACTTCCCATTCAAAAAGGTTTTCTTGGCCGGGCGTGGTGGCTCACGCCTGTAATCCTAGCATTCTGGGAGTCCGAGGCGGGCAGATTGCTCGAGGTCAGGAGTTCAAAACCAGCCTGAGCAAGAGTGAGACCCCCGCCTCTACTATAAATAGAAAGAAATTAATTGGCCAACTAATATATATAGAAAAAAAATAAAATAAAAAAAGTCTGTGTCTCAAAAAAAAAAAAAAAAAGACAAAAAGGTTTTCTTCAGGAAATGTTAGCCAAATCTTAAAACAAAACAAAAAAAGAAGCCTGGAATATTTGAACTGTTCAAAATATTCAGAAACTATGAAATAAACTAAGAAATCAAAATCTTTCTAGATTTTAAAAAATTCCTTCCAGAATCTGAATTCCTTCAATACATTTGGCTTAAGCACAACAAAATCAAAGGCTCTAGAAATCTTCAAAGAATATAGTAAAACATCATAAAAGTGTGCTACATCTTTAGATATATCCAGACCAAAAGGTACACATACAGAATGCCAAAGATGACATGCCTACTCTTTAAAGTAGGTCTTAGTCCTACCCTCCAATCCAATAATTCTTAAAAATTACTTAAGTAATTTCTTTTACATACCTGTCAGCCATATTTTTCCACTTGAAAAGCAAATTACTTGCAGAATCACCAATGGGCAGGTCCAATCTCTCTTTAAAATATTTAACAATGCCTTGTTCCTCCAAAAGCACAGGCACTCGGTATGTGGAAGAAACATCATGGATACATATGACCTATTCAATGATGAGAAAACACCATACTTAGATGAATCGACTCAAACATCTCAAACATGCCACAAGAATGAGATTGAAACTCAAGAGAGACTGGCAGTTCATTTACACTGATTAAAAAGAAAGAAAAAAACAAACAAGAAAACCCAGCAACCTAAACAAGAGTCAGAATTAACATATAGTTAGTATGATTTAATTACAAAACTCTTTGATTTCATTATCCTACTCCTGGAAGCATGGATGCCATGGTATAATAATTAAAAAAATACATATATACCTGGTCTTTGTCCCTAGTTCCTGACAGACCTTCAAAAATCTTCAGCATTTCCTGAGTGCTAGCAGTGTCTTTGTTATGCAAATAGAGACTCCAGGTGGCCCCTATAGATAATTTCCGGATGCAGCAGGTCACCAAAAAAAAGCAGCCCAGTGATTAGAGGGCTGGAATGTTGAGCCATCAACCTGACTTCAGGGGAGGAAAGGGGGTACTGGAGATTGAGTTCAACCAAATGGCCAATAATTCGATCAATCATGCCTACATAATAAAACTCCAATAATACTGAAGACCAAGGCTCAGAGGAGCTTCCCAATTGGTGAATACATTAAGGTGCCAGGAGGGTGGTGCACCCTGACTCATAAAAAGTTCCCGTGCTGGGGACCCTCCTAGACCTTGCCCTTTGCACCTTTTGTAATAAGACAGTCATTGTAAATATAGCACTTCTCTAAGTTTTGTGTGTCACTCTAGTGGACTATCAAACCCGAGGGGATTGTGGGAAGCCCCAAATTTGTAATCAGCAGGCAGAAGCAGGGATAGCTTAGGGACACTGGAAACTTGTGGCCCATGTCTGAAGAGGGGGGCAGTCTTGTAAGGGATTGAGCCCTTAAACCTGTGGAGTCTGAGGCTCACTGAGTAGTTACTGTTAGAATCCAATGACAAGACCCCTGCTCGTGACAGAGACTTGGTGTTGGAATATAGGTGTTTTATATGTCAATATCCAATACACAAGGCCCCAGGCACCATCTTCTAAGTCTGAGTCAAAGCAGAAGCAGTGAATACATACACCTTGTCTTCTCAATGTGCATATTCAGTTTGTTTTTTCATTCATTTGTTGTTGGGGCTGAAAGAGGCAACCTTGCAAAAATAACAAGAAAATATCTAATCCCACCATTTCCTCAGTAACAGTTAAAGATCAATCCTATGAGTTCTCTCACTAACAGGTACCCTGCAGGAGTCCTGTTTTGCACAATTTCTGAAAAGAGCTGAATAGATGGTAAAGACATGTAAATCTCTCTCTTTTGAAAATTGTTGTTTTGAGAATGCGCATTTTACAGCCTAAAGAGTTCCAGAGTAAGCAGCAGGAGAACAAGCTACAGCCTGGGCCATATCTGCAGGGCAGAGTCACATCTCCTGCAAAGGCAAGGAAACCAACTCTGGGACTTTGACATCCTGCAGCAGCTTTTGTTATCAACTGACAGCCATCCTACTGTTTTCCTCTTCCTCTCCCTTAAAATTAGCAAGCCACTTGGCCTGAATCTGGCACCCCCTTCTCTTTCTTTGGGATGCCAGCCATCATCTCCCCGCTCTCTTTCCCTCCCCCCTTTCACTCTCTCACTCTCTTTCTCTCCTCTAAGAAGACAAAATAAATTTTACTTTTATATATCCGAATCTCTGCATAAGAAATCTTTCTCTCCGCCAGGCGCGGTGGCTCACGCCTGTAATCCTAGCACTTTGGGAGGCCGAGGCGGGCGGATTGCTCAAGGTCAGGAGTTTGAAACCAGCCTGAGCGAGACCCCCTCTCTACCAAAAATAGAAATAAATTAATTGACCAACTAAAAATATATACAAAAAATTAGCCGGGCATGGTGGCGCATGCCTGTAGTCCCAGCTACTCGGGAGGCTGAGGCAGTAGGATCGCTGAGCCCAGGAGATTGAGGTTGCTGTGAGCCAGGCTGACGCCACGGCACTCACTCTAGCCTGGGCAACAAAGCGAGACTCTGTCTCAAAAAAAAAAGAAAAAAAAAGAAATCTTTCTCTCCATGCACCATGAGCACCTACCAGTCTTTCCACCCTAACACCTGCTACTGTAGTTGCTTTTGTCTGCAAACTCCTTCCTTTTGCTCCCTTCCTTTGGGTAAATTTACAAGCACAGATTGACCACAGTAAAATTAATTACACCTGCTGGAGGAGACATGCACCTTTGAATACCAGGAGGTGCCTGGCTGGGGTCGTTTTTCACACCTTCTCAAGTATTAATACATCCAAGGGGCTGCTGCTTGCAGCCATTGAAGGATCTTCCATATCCTAAGGAAATGCCAAAACATGTTCTGCCAACTCTGTTCAGTATCCCCAATTCCTAGCTATAAAATCAAGGGTTCCTGAGCTGTTTGAATATTGCCAATTTGATATTCAGACTACAGTGCCTCACTTATGCGTTCACCAATGCAATTCAAAGTGCAGAGATGTCACTGATAGGCGGGGACTCCATCCCAATTACCCATTAAAACTAAATCTCAGGCGGGCGCAGTGGCTCACACCTGTAATCCTAGCACTCTGGGAGGCCGAGGTGAGGTCAGGAGTTCGAAACCAGCCTGAGCAAAAGCAAGACCCCGTCTCTAATATAAATAGAAAGAAATTAATTGGCCAACTAATGTATATAAAAAAAATTAGCCGGGCATAGTGGCGCATGCCTGTAGTCCCAGCTACTCAGGAGGCTGAGGCAGGAGGATCACTTGAGCCCAGGAGTTTGAGGTTGCTGTGAGCTAGGCTGACGCCACGGCACTCACTGTAGTCTGGGCAACAAAGTAAGACTCTGCTCAAATAAATAAATAAATAAATAAAAATAAACTAATGTGCAGACTGATAGGACAATGCATTCTTCAGAATCTATAGCTATATAGACTCTATATGGTCTAAAGTTTACACTGTATCTTCTGTTTCCAGAGCTCTCAGCAATCCAACTCAAAGAGCTTTATTCTCCTATTTCAGAAACATTGAGCAAGCCATATTTGCTAAATACACACACAAAGTACTATTTACCAATAGGAAGGGTACCAAAAACAACTGAACAAAAACAAAATGGGATGACAAAATACAAATACAAAAGAGTCCCTTTAAATCTGTCATCACATTTTTCATAATTTCAGACTTTCACACTGACTCTGAAGCATCAGGCAGGGGGCTCTTCATCAGACTGCCTCCTGAGACCCAGAAATCCAATTTGATGGTTTTTGGACTTCAGAGAACCCAGAGCTAATTTGAAGAAAAGGTTTCCGCCAAATCTCACCCTTTTCCTGAGTGCTGTTTCTATGACTCTTTTTAAACTATAGCCAACTCTGATCCCTTGTACCCAAGTGCTTACTGGAAACAAGAGACAGAAATAAGACAAGGAAAGAAAAAAGAAAAGCTAGCTGTCAGAACCCCCAGGGGGAAAGTCCTGCAGAACAGAGGACCTGAGCCCGAATCATGGTACAGTTTCTATGACAATGAAGTGAACTGAGGTTGGTATTGCAATCGGAAGAGCTAGCGTGAATGTCAATGTACTCCAGTGGTTTGGGGTGAGTTAAGCTGTCGCAGGTACAAAGCAGAAATGAGTGAAAGCAATAAGTATCCCCAAAAGAAAGACAGGATTGAGACAGCAGGGAGACTTCACATGGTTCTCCCTCTAGACGTTTGTTTGACAGTGAGTTAAAAAGCCCACCCTGGTTTTGCACCTGTAACTTAAGGAGCAATCATGCAAAGAAAATTACATGCTATCTAAGGAATCAGAAGTGTCAAGATTCTTCACGTAAGAGCGAGGGAGCCATGGTTGGAAAGGAGTTCCCGAACGCTTGCATAAATGCTTCCAAAATTAATACGATAATGGAAGAGATGCATCAGCAGAAGTGCCTGCCACCCAATGAAATCTAAAGAGCAGTACCAACCTGTTCAGGGTTGACGTGACAAAACATAGAAATCTTCTCCTTCACTGCCATCTCGATGGGCGTTGAACTTCGGCAGACAATCTGTCAAAGCCAGTTATGCACAAGTCAGCAGCCAGGAACCCAGCTGTTCAAGGTGCCATTCGTTTTCAGCAGGACATTATATTCATTTCTTTTTACTACAAGAGACTTTACCAAGCATGCACATGTTCACCGTGGGCATTCCACTGTACTGCTAGAAATTGGTCCAAGCGCTAATCTAAGTGAGTATGATCAAATTCAGTACAAATGTACCAATAAGAGCTCGAAACATCAAAAAGTCTCTGGGGAACAAGGCTCACAAGTGTCGCTTCGTTAGCTATAAGAAGAAAACTCGATCAGGACTGACAGACTTTTTCCTCTAAAAGGCCAGATGGGAAAATTGTAGGTTTCCAGGTCATGCAGTCACTGTCTTAATCCTGAACTTTGTGCAGTATGAAAGCAGCTACAGACAATACATATACAAATGGGTGTGACTGTGTGCCAATAAAACTTTATTTACAAAAACAGGCAGGTCACCTGCTGGCCCTTAATTGCCGACGCCTGATGTAGACTGTTGGCAATGTAGACTATTGGATTACCTACTATAAGGATACATTACTGTTGAGAATAAAAATAAGAGCATTGATACCCATCCTAGCGGGGTCACAGGAAAAGCCCAAGGGCCCTTCTTCAATCTAAAGGGTCCAGGAATCATATAAATAACAGGACATCACACTTGTCCACCTGTCAATGTGGCCCATCAAATGAGTGCCTGGGAAAGAACAAATGGCCAACTTAAGCAACACTTAAGGATAAAGGAATAAGCCTTCCCTGGCTCCCAGATACAAAAAGCTCATTATCATAGGAACCATTGGAGAGCTACCAAGGACTTACACGATCCTATTAATTAAGAAATGGAGGCTCTGTTCCAAGTGACCTTTGGGATGAATTAATCCGTTGCCCTCAACTCACCAGATCTGGAGACAGGCCTAACCCCCTCAGCGCACGGACACTGTTTTGCGTGGGTTTGGTTTTTTGTTCTCCAGTAGCACTGGGCTGAAAAGAAAGGGGTTCCTATCAGGACATGGGATATTAGCTGTTCTGCATTATTAACGGCTTCCCAGTTTCAAACATGAGATTGACATAGAATATCATAGGAAAACGTATTAAAATTGCTGCCTACATACTTATCAGGAAAGCCCACCTGTGGGACAAGGCTAACATGGATATTACAGAAATTCTCTCTTTTCGCCTTAAACTGGAATTGTCTGAACGCTTCCACGAACGGCATCCCTTCAATGTCTCCAATGGTGCCTCCCAGCTGGGAATGCAAAACAAAACAGAAACACAAGTGACCAAACATCTTCCATGGTACACAAACCATTAGAAAAACTCGTGATAAACAGAACATAAGAACTGAAGTTTGTAAATATGCTCAAAACGATTGAATTGTACGCTTAAAACAGGACACGCTTGAAGCTCTTACTCAAGGGGGAAGGGGGGCACGGGCAATATATGTAACCTTAACACTTGTACCCACATAATATGCTAAAATAAATATACAAAAAAATAATAATAATACGTTAATATAAATGAAACCTCAATAAAGCTGTTCAAAAGTTAGAAGAAAATTATGGTACAAAAGCTGGGCGAGGTGGCTCATGCCTGTAATCCTAGCACTCTGGGAGGCCGAGGCGGGCAGATTGCTCGAGGTCAGGAGTTTGAAACCAGCCTGAGCAAGAGCGAGACCCCATCTCTAGTATAAATAGAAAGAAATTAATTGGCCAACTAATATATATAGAAAAAATTAGCTGGCATGGTGGCGCATGCCTGTAGTCCCAGCTACTCGGGGGGCTGAGGCAGGAGGATCGCTTGAGCCCAGGAGTTTGAGGTTGCTGTGAGCTAGGCTGACGCCACGGCACTCACTGTAGTCTGGGCAACAAAGTGAGACTCTGTCTCAAAAAAAAGAAAAGAAAGAAAATTATGGTACATTTAAGAGGGAGATGCAGTAAAGGGAAGAGAAAATGAAAACTAGAAAGTACAATAAAAGTAAAGAAGGTGAAATAAGAAGAAACGGATGGAGTGTAACATAGTCCAATAAACAGGTAAGCCAGCGAGGCAGACCATCAGGAAGGGAGAAGAAAGCCAGATCATAGAGAGCTTAAAAAAAGAGAAGGAGGCCCAGTGCGGTGGCTCATGCCTGTAATCCCAGCACTCTGGGAGGCCCAGGTGGGAGAATAGCTTGAGCTCAGGTGTTCAAGATCAGCCTGAGCTAGAGCGAAACCCTGTCTCTACTAAAAATAGAAATTAATTGGCCAACTAAAAATATATAGAACCCCCATAATATGCTAAAATAAAAAATAAAAATATATAGAAAAAATTAGCTGGGCATGGTGGCACATGCCTGTAATCCCAGGTACTCGGGAGGCTGAGGAAGGAGGATCGCTTGAGCCAAGGAGTTTGAGGTTGCTGTGAGCTAGGCTGACACCATGGCACTCTAGCCCAGGCAACAGAGTGAGACTCTGTCTCAAAAAAAAAAAAAAAAAGAATAAAATTTGAGCACTGAGTGGAATGATCTCGATGTTGGGGAGGAAGGGATCACAGTGGGCCCAGTTCCAGAATCTGCAATCTTCTCTGGCTTCAGCTACCTGGATGGATTCCAAATCTACTTCTAGTCCTGCCTCTCTTCACAGCACGTTTGAGCTTTGAAGCCACTTGTCTTTGACATCTTGGGTGGCTCAATGATTACTCAAACTTAACAAGTCCCAAACTGAACTCTCTTGTTCCCCTACTCCACCCCAGGGCCTGTTTCTCTTGGTGCTTCCTCATCTCAGCAAATAGCATCTCTTCCCACTAACCAATTCAAACTAGAAACCATCCTCAATCTCCACTCTCATCCTCTCCCAACCCAGTGCAGAGGTTCGGACCTCCAAAACCTCTTGCCAAGCTCTGCACTGTGCTCTATCTCACCGGCGACCACCCTAGACACCCTGTCAACCTCATCTTTTGCCTGTATCATTGTAATAATCTAACCCAGGGGGTGGCAAACTATGGCCGGGTGCCCATTTTTACAAGTTTTTTTTTGTTTTTCTTTTTGAGACACGGTCTCACTCTGTTGCCCGGGCCAGAGTGCCATGGCATCAGCCTAGCTCACAGCAACCTCAAACTCCTGGGCTCAAGAGATCCTCCTGCCTCAACCTCCCAAAGCTGGGACTACAGGCATGTGCCACCATGCCCGGCTAATTCTGTCTATATATTCTTAGTTGGCCAATTAATTTCTTTGTATTTTTAGTAGAGATGGGGTCTCGCTCTTGCTCAGGCTGGTCTTGAACTCCTGACCTTTAGCAATCCACAGGCCTTGGCCTCCCAGATTACAGGCGTGAGCCACTGTGGCACGGCCCATTTTTACAAGTTTTATTGGCATGCAGCTATGCCCATTCACTTACATTGTGGCTGCTTCTGCACCACAATGGCAGAATTGAATGGTTGTGACTGATACTCTCTGACCCACAGAGCTAACCATACTACAGGCCCTTTAGAGAAAAAGGTTGCAGACCCTCCAGTCTAAATGTCTCCCAGCTGCCACCCTCCCCCATCCTACCATCAAGCTATTTGTCTCTCTCTAGCAGAGTGACCTTTTAAAAATTCAGAATATGTCTCTCCCACACTTACACCCTTCAGTGCCTCCCTGCTTCGCTACAACATGGAAACTAGTTAACGCAGCCAACGAAAGGCCCTCACGACCTGGCCCTTGCAGAAGTCTCCCTAGTCCTGTCTGGCACCCCTCCCCACTGGCCTCTCGGGTGCTCAGATGAGCCACGCACTTCCCTCCTGCCCCTCAATTCCGCCCGCCTTCCTTCTAAACCTGCAGCCACCTGCCTTTATCCTTCAGCCCGGGGAATGATGCATCCTCCTCCAAAAGGCTGACGCTGACCACCCACCTAAAGCAACCTGCATTCCACTACCCCTGGTTCACAGCACCCTGTCTGTGCCCATGCTAGGAACAAGTGGCCACTATTTCATTTCTGTCTTTGTTTCCTGTCTTTCTACCCCACCAGGCTGTAAGCCCTGCTAGGACACAAGCCCAGTGCCCTGCACACAGCACTGGGGCTTTAGGTTAGTGCTCAGGACAGGACAGAAAGGTCTCAAGGCCGGGCGCGGTGGCTCACGCCTGTAATCCTAGCTCTCTGGGAGGCTGAGGCGGGAGGATCGCTCCAGGTCAGGAGTTCGAAACCAGCCTGACCAAGAGCAAGACCTTGTCTCTACTATAAATAAAAAGAAATTAATTGACCAACTAATATATATAGAAAAAAAAAATTAGCCGGCCATGGTGCCTGTAGTCCCAGCTACTTAGGAGGCTGAGGCAGGAGGATCGCTTGAGCCCGGGAGACTGAGGTTGCTGTGAGCTAGGCTGACGCCACGGCACTCACTCACTCACTCTCACCTGGGCAACAAAGTGAGACTCTGTCTCAAAAAAAAAAAAAAAAAAAAAAAAGGAAAGGTCTCAAAATTCAATATAGGCTCTAGGTAGCAATGTCCTAGTACCTGTTATAATAATTGTAATGGAACGAAACACAGTGGTCTCAGGACCACGTTGCTGGGGAAGAAATTATTCTTTTCTAACTTTAATTCAGATAATAAAACATAATTAAAATGTAAGCTTCCTGGAACAGATAGAAATAGATGACCTTTCTGTAAGAGAATGGCAAACTCAGTTATGAAACTCCAAGAAGCAAAAATCTACCACATGCCATCAGGATCTTGGCAGGGGTGGGGAAGTGTAAAAGTGCTCCCTGACTACAATGCACCAGAATCTGATAAAAAGAAATGTATTTCCTTTAAGGTAAAAAAGAGGTCTGCACTTAAACTAAAGCGAATGGGGCCACCTTCAGTTTTTTAATCAGGGTCTTCCATTAGTCAACAGTGAATGCAAAAAAGAGGCCAACTTCAAACATTATCCGCTTCCGCCCTCCTCTGGCCTATAGTGGTACTGCATTCTCCCTGCCAATTAGGAAGTTCCGGTTACTGAGTCACAATTATTATGACCACTGTGTTCTGAAACTTTCAGTACTGTTACTATAAGAGTCCTAAGTTGTTTTCCCAAACAACAGGAAAAATGCAATCCATAACAATACTTTAAGATGTATCCAAAGCTGAAATTGAAGCAGCTGCAAATTTATGAGATGTGCAAAGTTGGCTTTGCCTTCAATGAAGGAATCTTCTTTTGGGGGTGAATAAAAGAAATCTTTTATTCCTTTAAGCCAGGCATAAATTATTTCAGGTTCATGCATAGATGGCCTGTACTAGTATGAATAAAGCCTTTCAGCTCCACTGGTGTGAGAAGTTGAGACTTCACCCACAAAAAGGCTTTGGAAGCCAGGCATGGTGGCTCACACCTATAATCCCAGCACCTTAGGAGGAGATGGGAGGGATAGCTTAAGCAAAGAGTTTGAGAACAGCCTAGACAACATAGCAAGACCCTGTCTCTACAAGAAATTTTTATTTAAATTAGGCTGGTGTGGTAGTGAACACCTGTAGTCAATAGGCTGAAACAGGAGGATTGTTTGAGCCCAGGAGTTCGAGACTGCAATGAGCTATTATTACTGTGCCACTGCCTTCCAGCCTGGGCAACAGAGCAAGACCTTTTCTCTTAAAAAAAAAAAAAAAAAAGAAAGAAAGAAAAAGAGGCCAGTCCAGTGGCTCACCCCTGTAATCCTAGCACTCTGGGAGGCCAAGGCCAGCAGATTGCTCAAGGTCAGGAGTTCGAAACCAGTCTGAGCAAGAGCGAGACCCCATCTCTACTAAAAATAGAAAGAAAACTAATTGGCCAACTAATATATATAGAAAAAATTAGGCAGGGCGAGGTGGCTCACGCCTGTAATCCTAGCTCTCTGGGAGGCCGAGGCGGGCGGATTGCTCGAGGTCAGGAGTTCAAAACCAGCCTGAGCAAGAGCAAGACCCCGTCTCTACTATAAATAGAAAGAAATTAATTGGTCAACTGATATATATATGTAAAAAATAAGCCGGACGTGGTGGCACATGCCTGTAGTCCCAGCTACTCGGGAGGCTGAGGCAGGAGGATCGCTTGAGCCCAGGAGTTTGAGGTTGCTGTGAGCTAGGCTGACGCCAAGGCACTCACTCTAGCCTGGGCGACAAAGTGAGACTCTGTCTCAAAAAAAAAATTAAAATTAAAAAAAAAGAAAAAGAAAAAAAATGACTTTGGAGACTTTTCAATAACTCCTACATGCCTAAAACTAAAAGTCAGCTTTGGCAGTCCTCCTTCAAAAACTTAAATAGTACACAGACACAGTTGTTGAAAATGACTTAAAATGAACTAAAAAGGATGTCTGACCTAGTGTCCAATAAGCATCAGAGTTATATGGAGAAGAAGGAGTTTTGTTTGTCAGTTTCTCAATTTCCATAAAATTAAAACTCTAGCTGATGAGCTCCTGGAGAACAGAAGTCACATCACATTTGTCCTCACTTCCTCAGTACCTGTCATCGGGTATACTACATATTAGGTGCTAAATTAATAGTTGTTAAGCTGAATGAGTAAATTCAAGGTCAGAATAAGAAATGAATAAAAAAAATAAGCCACGCATGGTGGTACATGCTTGTAGTCCCAGATGTTCAGGAGGCTGAGGTAGGAGGATCCCTTGAGCCCAGATGTGCAAGGCCAGCCTGGACAGCATAACAAGACCCTATGTCTAAAAAAACCAAAAATCAAAAATTAAATATCAAAGACCTAGACATTAAAAAAGGAATAATGTGCCAGGTATAGACCTAAAATGTTTGCTTATTGTTTGTTTAGATGGAAACTTCAATTTAATTTGCTATGTCATTGAGCATTTTTTATTCCACTGCACAAGTAGAATCTTCAACTATCACAGTTTGAATCTACAGTATACTGTTTTCTTTGTAAAAACATAACAAAGAGTGCTCGCTTCGGCAGCACATATACTAAAATTGGAACGATACAGAGAAGATTAGCATGGTTAAATAAAAATTTAAAAAAAAAAAACAACATAACAAAGAGAGTCAAGTGTACAGGCCCCAGATTGAAATCACTGTGTATTTTGCATTCCTTTTTTTTATTATTATAATAAGTCTTTGAAGCCTGAGATGTATTTTAAACTCACAGAATATATCAATTTGGACAGGCCACATTTCACATGTTCAATAGCTTCATGTGGTCAGTGGCTAGCGTACTGGGCAACGACGTACCATACAAAAAATAACCAGCATACACCAAAGGTGAGATGCCTTGTACTCTCTGCAGGCTCGAATGAAATCAGTCTTGGGCTGAGCTGTAAGATACTGAAACTACTAAACAGCACCTTCATGTTGACATTAAATTAGCGTTTTTGTAAAAATCAAACAATCGGCCAGGCGCAGTGGCTCACGCCTGTAATCCTAGCACTCTGGGAGGGCAAGGTGGGCAAATCCTTTGAGCTCAGGAGTCCGAGACCAACCTAAGCAAGAGTGAGAGCCCATCTCTATTAAAAATAGAAAGAAATTAGCTAGATAACTAAAAATATAGAAAGACTATATAAGATATAGAAGAAAGAATATAAGAAAGAATTATAAGAAAAAAATATAAGAAAGAATATAAGAAAAACTTAGCCGGGCATGGTGGCACATGCCTGTAGTTCCAGCTACTCGGAAGGCTGAGGCAGGAGGATTGCTTGAGCCTAGGAGTTTGAGTTTGAGGTTGCTGTGAGCCAGACTGACATCACGGAACTCTAGCCCAGGCAACAGAGTGAGACTCTGTCTCAAAAAAAAAATCAAAACAATGCATGCAGCATACGGTTAAAAATCAAATTGTAGAGAAGAGTGTACAACAAAAAACAAGAGTCCCCTGCCCTGTAACTTCCCTCTTCCAAGTCTGGATTTCCCAAGATGAAATGCCTAAAGTTCTCTGTTGGAGATTTCCTCTGCTGGTCACCTCCATATTTTCAAATAGCATCCAGCTCAGCTCCTTCTAGACGTACCCATCCTACACACCCTCTCGAGAATGCAAGTTGATCTCCTGTGGTTCCCCCAGCCCCAGAGCCCAATCTCAATTTTCTCCTCCCTCCCCTCCGGATCCATGTATCCCCTCCACCTCTCCATTCCTATTTTCCAAGCTGGTGACATCTACATCGGCTTTCCTGCCTTCTGAGAGGCATCTTGGGGACCGATCCCCAAAACCGAAAATAAGTCAATAGATGGACTTCCTTCGCTGCAGAGTCAAGCTGACCACTGAGCTTCCATCTCTTTTTTTTTAAAGGAAGCAAGCCTAGTTATGCAGGTATGTTCAGTTTGCAAAACTTTATCAAGCTATACACCTAGGATATGTGCACTGTTCTGTGTTTGTTATACGCCAATTTTACAAATTACAGAGGAAGCATTCCTTCTTTCCTCAGTGTAAATTGTGAAGGAAGAAACACCAAGGGAGAGAAAATTTTGTATAGCACACTACATTATATAATACATTTATGTTAAGTTTGTCTACTATTATTCCAGCAATATAATATGTAGTTAATATGTGATAACATAGTATGTTTTTTTTTTTCCACTGAGGCATTTTATTTGTAAGTATGTATTACAGCCCTAGAAAAAGAATCCCAGAATTTTCCCTCCTGTGTTTTCTTCTTGCTTCTTCATGGTCCATGATGCCAGCTGAAGTTGTCAATACAATGAAACCAAACTGGCGGGATGGGAGCAGATTATTCTGCCATTTTTCTAGATCTTTGAGTTGCACATCGAATCTGGGGCTGATCACTCCACACTTGTTTAACCTGCCTGTGAGGTTCACAACAATTTTCCCAGCTCTGTCATCAGCAATGATTTCAAATTCGCCAATGTAACCATGCTTCATCATCACAGTTAGAAACCGGACAATGACTTTGGAGCACGGCCTTATAAGAACCTGGCGTTTGCCTCTCTTTTCGGCATTGTTGGTGCTCTTAAGAGCATGAGCCAGGACATTCATGCGCACCATTATGGCGGCGTGGAAAGATGGCGGAAAGCAACATAGTTCGTTTCTAGTAAGTTTATCAAATCTACTGTTAATAAAATGAATCTTCTACACAGCAGGTATCTGCTAACACTTATAATGATGACAATAACAGCTATTGTGTATTTACTGAGTACTTCCTAAACGCCAGACATTAACAAGTGCTTTCTATTATTACATTTAATCCTCACAAAAACCTTGTTATTATCACCTTGTTATTATTACAATATTACATCATTCCTATATCATTATAAATAAGCACACTAAAGCCGTGAGAAATAATTTGCCAAAAGTCATATACAGTTATCTTAACAGTGGCTAATAATTTTAAGGACTTACTATAGCTCTGACACCATTCTAAGCACTAAGTGTAGTCACTTATTTAACCTTCAAAACAATTAGTTAAGTATTATCATTATCACCACCTAGCAGATGAATAAACTGAGGCACGGAGAAGTTAAGCAAACTTGTCCAGAGTCACCCAGCTAGTTGGGCTACAAACCCAGGCAGTCTGACTCCAGACTTTTTTTTCCTGTTGCCCAGGCTAGAGTGCTGTGGTGTCAGCCTAGCTCACAGCAACCTCAAACTCCTGGGCTCAAGCGATCCTCCTGCCTCAGCCTCTCAAGTAGTGGGACTACAGGCATACATCACCATGCCCGGCTAATTTTATATATATATATATATTTTTTTTAAAGCTGTTTAGGCAATTTCTTTCTATATTTTTTTTTTAGTAGAGTCGGGGGTCTTGCTCTTGCTCAGGCTGCTCTCGAACTCCTGAGCTCAAACGATCTACCCGCGTCAGCCTCCCAGAGTGCTGAGATTACAGGCATGAGCCACCGCGCCCGGCCTGAATCCAGACTCTTACCCACTAAGTTATACATGGCCTGGGGCTCATGGTGGCTATTTGAACCCAGGCAGCCTGACTCTAGGAACCAAGTTGTTCATTATTCTGTTCTCCTCCTTGGCAATTAGGTCAACTGGCATTAACATGAGGAGAACATGGATGTTATTCTCATTCTGCACATGAAGAGGAAGGGAAAAAGGTGAAAGCATTGAACAAGTGCAAATTCAAATACTACTTTCTTTCTTTAAACAGCTGATACTCACTTATCTGAGCATCTGACTTCCCTAACTCAGGGTCTCTCTATGTCGAAATCACTTTGCAGGCTGGGCGTGGTGGCTCATGCCTGTAATACTAGGTCTCTGGGAGGCCGAGGTGGGTGGATCGTTTGAGCTCAGAAGTTCGAAACCAACCTGAGCAAGAGGAAGACCCCATCTCTAGTATAAATAGAAAGAAATTAATTGGCCAACTAATATATATAGAAAAAATTAGCCGGGCATGGTGGCGCATGCCTGTAGTCCCAGCTACTCAGGAGGCTGAGGCAGGAGGATCACTTGAGCCCAGGAGTTTGAGGTTGCTGTGAGCTAGGCTGATGCCACGGCACTCACTCTAGCCTGGGCAACAAAGTAAGACTCTGTCACAAAAAAAAAAAAAAAGAAAGAAAGAAAGCACTTTGCAAATAGTTTTCGAATAGAACACACTCGAATGTAGTCTGTCACGTGTGGACATACACATCTGTAAGCCCTTCAAGGCCAGAGACTGTGCCATCCCAGGCTCAGCATAGAAAAGGCCCTAACGTTGACTCGATGATCACCTGATCTGTCTCCAAACGCACATAACTGCACACCCATCCCAGGAGTATGCGTGACTACCTGTTTAATGACAATGTTGCCCACTGCCTTGTGACCACAAGGGCAGGAGCCATCTGTGCTGTTCTCTGCTATCAACCCACCTCTTAGCCCAGTGCCAGATGCTTAAAGACCTGGCAGGTTATAAGTTTATAAAGAAAAGTTCCATGCTTGCCTCAATGACGCATATTTGGGGTTCTTCCTTATTACCATCCACGGGCACCTTGGCTTGGTTCATAACCCACTCCTGGACCGCATCGGTAATGTGAGGGACAACTGCAGAAGGAAGTGATAATTAGCAAACCCTTATTCCATGCTCAGGAGAAAGGAATGTACTCAGACCTCCCAAATAACCTGAAAGTCACATGACAAATGAAGCAAGCTACAGTCCTCATGCTATGAACTTCCCTCGTTGAAATCAATATGTACTGATGCAATTTATGTTTACGTTTAATAATTTAAATGTTAGGTGTGGGGCCAGGCGCAGTGGCTCATCCCTGTAAACCTAGAACTCTGGGAGGCCGAAGCGGGTGGATTGCTCAAGGTCACGAGTTCAAAACCAGCCGAGCAAGATCAAGACCCTTCTCTACTAAAAATAGAACGAAATTAATTGGCCAACTAAAAATATATACAAAAAATTAGCCAGGCATGGTGGCTCATGCCTGTAGTCCCAGCTACTAGGGAGGCTGAGGCAGGAGGATCACTTGAGCCCAGGAGTTTGAGGTCGCTGTGAGCTAGGCTGATGCCACGGAACTGTAGCCCGGGCAACAGAGTGAGACTCTGTCTCGAAAAAAAAATGTTAGGATATTTCTCTTGAAACCCACCAATCCCAGAGACAGAGAAACAGCAGAGTGCCATCTTTGATAAAACTAGAAAGCACCCATAATGCCAGCTAAAAACTGTGTAAGGAGGGCAGCCAGCAAACTGAATGCGACACTTCATGGGGCAGGAGGCAGAGCAGCCACCAGGAGGACCCCGCCAAGCCACCAGTCCATGGGGAAAGGTCCACTCCAAGGTCACAGAGGAGGCCTGCATGCTGACCAGGGGCCCTGACAGGGTGTGACCAGGCCCGTGGCTGCTAATGTCACCTTTAGAGGCCAAAAGGGTACATTTCCGCAGGCACGTAAGACCCAGGGGTTTCTATCATGGTGAATGAGCCCGAACCTGGTGATAAGACAAAAAGGGGACATACTGGTCGGATGGGAGGGACTCAACACATCCTCCTAACTTGATGCATGAAGCAGTAACGGTGGCCTTTGGGAGGCTGAGAGGAAGGAGCACGGCCACCTCCCCCCTGTTCTCCCTCCCTTGAGGCAGGAGACAGGCATCTCCCACTGGTGAACTTAGAACCACCCACTGCACAAGCCCACCTAGACCCGGCTTGCTGGGCTCTGCCTCCACCCGGGCAGCTCCAGGGGTCTTTGTCCTCTCCCCATCCATGGGACGTGACAGGTGTGAGGTGGCCACTTTCCCTCCAATAGCTCTTCCCAAGACTTACAGGTGGGGGGAAACTATGCAAAAGCACAGTTGCAGCTGAGATCTAAGAACACTGTCTAGTTTCAGTAGTAGCATAGCTAATGTTTTTGATCACCATGTTTGAACTCCTATGTCTCCTTCTTAGCTAGTCCCTTAAAGGGAAAGAGGAATTATCACCATTACCCCACCATATAGGAACGTATGGATACAAGACTTTACAGGGTACGGGGAAGGGTATTCCTCTAAGACAAAAGAGAATCATACCACCCAGGGAAAGGGTTGGTGAAGAGTCAGGAATCGGCTGACCATGCCGCCTGCCGCTCCAGTCCCTCCCCAACACTGACATTCTTCAAAGATGAGTAATCATCCATGCAAAGGTACAGGAAAAAAAAAAAGAGAGAAAATGAACACACTAAATAATACACAGACAAAACAAAAAACATCTAGGCCCGGCCTGGTGGCTCACGCCTGTAATCCCAGCACTCTGGGAGGCCCAGGCTGGAGGATCACTTGAGCTCAGGAGTTCGAGACCAGCCTGAGCAAGAGTGGGACCCCGTCTCTACTAAAAATACAAAAATTAGCTGGGCGTGGTGGCTCCTGTACTCCCAGCTACTGGGGAGGCTCAGGCAGCAGAATTGCTTGGGCCCAGGAGTTTGAGGTTGCTATGAGCTAGGCTGATGCCACAGCACTCTAGCCCAGGAGACAGACCAAGACTCTGTCTCAAAAAAAAAAAAAAATCTGCAGTCCAATTAGGTAAATGTGATGAATAAATGCCTCTCCACGGATTTTCCAATGCTAAAAGAGAGAGAGACTAAGGAGAATAATGGCGTGAGTAAAAAAGACAAAAAGACTAATGAAAATATAATCAGGCACATAGAGGATGAACTTGATATTTTTGAGGAAAGTGAGAAGGAAACGACCTAAAAAAAATTAGAACTTGTAAAACACAGGGACTGTGACATTTTCACTTCTATTTTTGAGCAGTGTGCTGGTGCTCAGCACAGATCATGTTTGTGGAATATAATACCTTGTACTGTTTTCCCCAAGTAATCGCCACGCCTCTCTTTATTGATCACATGCTGATATATCTTCCCGGTGGTGATGTTGTTATCTTTATACAGATTAATATCCAAAAATCGTTCATAATTTCCAAGATCTAAATCAACTTCTCCACCATCATTTAAGACGAACACTTCACCTAGGATAAAAAGGCAATGTAAAAATTCGAAATTTGCTTGCAATAGATTATTTTTCAAAGATGGACATATTTTTATTAAAGAGCTAGTAAAAGATGTATTTCCAAGCCATATTCTATCACCATCGCTTTATTTTGATGGTGAAATTTAACAATTCAATTCTACCGATGAAAATACATCAAAAACCTAGCACTCTGGGAGGCTGAGGCAGGTAGATTGTTTGAGCTCAGGAATTGGATACCAGCCTGAGCAAGAGTGAGACCCTGTCTCTACTAAAAATAGGAATTAGCTGAGTGTGGAGGCACATGCGTATAGTCCCAGCTACTTGGGAGGCTGAGGCAGGAGGATGGCTTGAGCCCAGGAGTTTGAGGTTGCTGTGAGCTAGGCTGATGCCATGGCACTCTAGCCAGGGCAACAGAGTGAGACTGTCTCAAAAAAAAAAAAAAAAACAAGAAAAAGAAAATACATCAAAACATTCTGGTATGCTATTTATCATAGTATGTTTTTAAATCCTATTGAAACTGTGTCCTCAAGATTTAGCTTTTCCAAACTCATCATATGCAACATTAAAAAAGGGCTTTAAAAGAGCAATTTTAAAAACAAATAGCAATTTCCTTCAAAGCATCAGTATCCTGGGGTCTGGAAGAGGCATAAGGAAGTTCTGCTTGATTCCCATCTTGGTTAAAGCCACAGTTTGATAGCAGATGGCAAAGCAGGGCCACAGCTAGCCCACGGGGCAACCTGGTGAAAGGGAGGGACAAAGCAAGTGTGTGCCATAAGCCACCGGCACAACAGCACGGTGATAAAGGACATAGGTGTAGACTTCATCGCATAAGGAGCACCCGCCTTGATTACTGGGCACATCTCTAGATCTCTATTGTCACTTGAGGGCATTGACCAGAGTTAAATGCTCCAAAGCCACCTCCTAAGACTCTAACCTCCCCATGATTAAAGAAACTATATCATTTACTCCTACTGCTAGATGTTCACATCAAAAAAGAAGACTTAATCAGAAATATTTTATACCTTCCTTTATGTCTCCCTTATAAGTTACATAACTGGAGTCTGCAAGATTAACTTTAAGAACACAAGAGCAAATTGATGGCCAGGTGCAGTGGCCCACGCCTGTAATCCTACCATTCTGAGGCCAAGGCAGGAGGATCGAGTGAGGCCAGGAGTTCGATACCAGCCTAAACAAGAGTGACATCCCATCTCTACTAAAAATAGAAAAAATTAGCCAGGCATGATTTAGGATGCCCATAGTCGTAGCTACTTGAGAGGCTGAGGATTGCCTGAGCCCAGGAGTTGAAGGTTGCAGTCAGCTATGACGGCACCAGGCGACAGAGAAAGACTTTGTCTCAAAAAAAAGGAGCAAACTGATGAAACTACAATATTTTTATATTTCCCAAATTGCATTTCCAGTTCAAATTCCATTTCCTAACATTAGCCAGGAATAACCCAATCTATGGAAAAGTACTGAGAACCTGTCTCAAAAAGAAAGAAAGGAAAAAATAAATTGAAAGAAAAATTGGTATAACACATGCATTAGTCGATTGTGTTTCATAGAAACCCCAAAATCACAGCAACTTACAAGAAACATTATTTATTTCTCCCTCGTGTTACATCGAGGCTGTAGTCGTTTGTGAGTCTATTCTGTGTCTTCTCATTCCAGACCCCAGGCTAGATGAGAAATCCCAGTACAGAGCAGGCTGTTCTCATAGCAGATAGCAGAAGCACAAGAGAGGCTTAGCCAAACCATGCAGCTGCATTTAAACGTTCTTCTTCAATGAGGCATGTCACATTCACCAATGTCCCATAGGACAAAACAAATTGCATGGCCAAAAAGGGTGACCGACCTCGTTGGTTTTCCCAAGAGTAAGGGACTCCCCAGGACTCAGGATTTTTAGTTTTAAAACCAGGAAAGTTCCAAACAAACCAGGATATGTTAACTACCCTACGCGGCCAAAGTCCAACATCAAGGGGCAGGGAAATGTACTCTACAGAAATATGCCGGGTGATATTTTCAAACAAAAATGTAATCTACCACAGACTTCAATAAGTCATTCACAAACAAAATCAAAATCAAAGAAATCTGGCAGGGCACAGCGGATAACACCTGTAATCCTAGCACTCTGGGAGGCCGAGGTGGGAGGATCACTCAAGGTCAGGAGTTCGAAATCAGCCTAAGCAAGAAAAAGACCCCATCTCTACTAAAATAGAAAGAAATTAGCCAAACAACTACAAATAAATATATAAAAAACTAGTAGGGCATGGTGGCGCATGGCTGTAGTCCCAGCTACTCAGGAGGCTGAGGCAGGAGGATCATTTGAGCCCGAGAGTTTGAGGTTGCTGTGAGCTAGGCTGACGTCACTGCACTCTAGCCCTGGCAGCAAAGTGAGACTCCGTCTCAAGAAAAAAAAAAAAACCGTATGTAACAGCTAATGTCTTTTTAAAAATAATTAGTAGATATATCAAAATGTTGACATTTAGAATAGTTACACCAGGCAATGAGAACTGTTAAGAGAAATATATCACCTTCATGATAAAATAAATAAAACAAAACCCATGTGCAAAAGGTACAATATTTCCAACAGAGTTGACTAACTTGGAATGTTGTAAGTGATCTGAACGATGTATCAATGACCCTGAGAACATTCACATATTCACAAAGTAGGATCCAGCAACCCTGCTTCTGGAACTAGATCCTAATGAAATTACCCAAACTACAAGAAAGAACTGCAGTTTAACCTAGTACTATAAGGGGGAAGTAGTTTTCTTTCGTACCATGTTCATAAGGTGAAAAAGTGCCAGCGTCAATGTTAATGTAGGGGTCGATTTTGATGGCAGTAACTCGGAGTCCACATGATTTCAGAATCGTCCCAATGCTGCTCGCGATGATCCCTTTACCAATGCCTGAGATGACTCCACCTGTCACCAGAATGTACTTCATTGGCAGACGAGTGGCTGGGTGCCAGTACCCAGATATAACCTGAAAGGCGACACAATTAACCAGTAAAGCGGAGAGTGCATTAAATGAAAATTTCAAAAGCACACAGCATTTTTCTATCTAAACTAAATACTGGGCCAAGCATGGTGGCTCGTGCCTCTAATCCGAGCACTTTGAAGGCCAAGGCAGGAGGATCACTTGAGGCCAGGAATTCGAGACCAGCCTGAACAAGAGCAACTACTGTCTCTCTAAAAAAAGAAGAAAAGAAAAGAAAAGAAAAGAAAGAAAAGAAAAGAAAAGAAAAGAAAAGAAAAGAAAAGAAAAGAAAAGAAAAAAAGAAAAAAAAAAGAAAGAAGAAGGAAGAAGGAAGAAGGAAGAAGGAGGAAGGAAGGAAGAAGAAGAAGAGGAAGGAATAAGGAAAGAAAGAAAGAAAGAAAGAAAGAAAGAAAGAAAGAAAGAAAGAAAGAAAGAGAGAAAGAAAAATTAGCCAGGTCTTGGCAAGCGCCTGTAGTCCCAGCTACTCAGGAAGCTGAAGCAGGAGATGACTTGAGCCCAGGAGTTTGAGGCTGCAGTGAGCTGTGATGACTCCACAGCATTCTAGCCTAGGCAACAGAGCAAGACTCTGTCTCAAAAACAAAACAAAAAACAAAACTAAATACTTGAATCTATTGAATCAAAGTCTTATCTTCTAGGAATTTAATTTTTGTCACTATACATAAAGATGTGGATATTTTTTGCAAGAAAAGTGCCTGGCTCTGTTGCCCTGGCTTTCCCAACTGTGTCATGCAACAAAAACAAACTTTATCATGAGAAACTAGCTTTCTCTAGAATTCAGAGGCAAGCTAAAATGTTTAAGAATTCAGACTCTGGGCCCAGGCGTGGTGGCTCTCACGCCTGTAATCCCAGGACTTTGGGAGGTCAAGGCAGGAGAATCGCTTAAACACAGGAGTTTGAGGCTGCACGCAATGAGCTATGATCACACCATTGCACTCCAGCTTAGATGACAGAGTAAGACCCTGTCTCTTAAACAAAAAAAGAGAGAAAGAGAGAGAGAAAACTCACTCTGGAGTCAGACAGATCTGTACAAATTACCTGGGCAAGTTCTTTATCCTTTACTGTGCCTGGTTCTTCAGCTGGAAAGTGGAATAAAGATACCAATCCCTTGTAGCCAGGCATGGTGACACACAACCGTAATCCCAACTACTGGGGAGGCTGAAGCAAAAGAATCACTTGAGCCCAGAACTTTTGAGTCCAGCCTGGGCAACATAGCAAGACCCGTCTCAAAAAATAAATCCTTTGGAATATTATTCAACGCTAAAAACAGACCCAAAACCAGCCTGAGCAAGAGTGAGACCCCATCTTTACTAAAAACAGAAAAATTAGCCGGGCGTGGTGGCGTGTTCCTGTAGTCCCAGCTACTCCAGAGGCCAAGGAAAGAAATTCACTTGAGCTCAGGAGTTTCAGGTTGCTGTGAGCTAGGCTGATGCCATAGCACTCTAGCCCAGGCTACAGAGCGAGACTCTCTCTCAAAAAATAAAAAGAAAAGGCCTCCTAGCACTTTGGGAGGCCGAGGCGGGCGGATTGCTCAAGGTCAGGAGTTCGAAACCAGCCTGAGTGAGACCCCGTCTCTACCAAAAATAGAAAGAAATTAATTGACCAACTAAAAAATATATATACAAAAAATTAGCCGGGCATGGTGGCACATGCCTGTAGTCCCAGCTACTCGGGAGGCTGAGGCAGTAGGATCGCTGAGCCCCGGAGATTGAGGTTGCTGTGAGCCAGGCTGACGCCACGGCACTCACTCTAGCCTGGACAACAAAGTGAGACTCTGTCTCAAAAAAATAAAAAAAGAAAAAAAGAAAAAGAAAGAAAGAAAGAAAAAGAAATGGGCCATCAAGCCAGGAAAAGACATGGAGGAATCTTAAATGCATATTACCAAGTGAAAGAAGCCAATCTGAAAAAGCTACAAACTGTATAACTCCAACTACATGACATTTTGCAAAAGACAAAACTACAGAGAGAGTAAAAGGATCAGTGGCTGCCCTGTAGGAGGGGGGGCGGGATGAATAGATAGCACAAAGGATTTTTAGAGCAGTGAGACTACTCTGTAAGATACTGTAACGGTGGATACATGTCGATTAAACATTTGTCAAAACCCATAGAAGGAACACAAAAGAGTGAACCCTGATGTAAATAAACTATAGACTTCGGGGGATAATGATGCATCACTATAGATTCACCAATTATGTAATAATAAATGCACCACTCTTGTGCAGAGGTAGTGGGCAGGCTGGGTGTGCCAGGTGAGCGGGGGCAGGAGGTATATGGGTACTCTGTATTTCCTGCTCAGTTTTGCTGTGAACCTAAAATTGCTCTAGGCCGGGCGTGGTGGCTCACGCCTGTAATCCTAGCACTCTGGGAGGCCAAGGCAGGTGGATTGCTCGAGGTCAGGAGTTCGAAACCAGCCTGAGCAAGAGTGAGAACCCGTCCTACTATAAATAGAAGAAATGAACTGGCAACTATATATATAGAAAAATTAGCCAGGCATCGGTGGCGCATGCCTGTAGTCCAGCTACTCGGGAGCTGAGGCAAAGATCGCTTGAGGCCGGCGCCTGTGGCTCACGCTGTAATCCTAGTCTTGGGAGGCCGAGGCCGGCGGATTGCTCAGAGTCAGGAGTTCAAAACCAGCCTGAGCAAGAGCAGCCGACGTCTCTACTATAAAGAAAAGATTAATTGGCCAACTGATATATATTAAAAATTAGCCAGGCGTGTGGCGCATGCCTGTATCCCAGCTACTCGGGAGCTGAGGCAGAGGATCACTCAAGCCCAGGAGTTTGAGGTTGCTGTGAGCTAGGCTGACGCCATGGCACTCACTCTAGCCTGGCAACAAAGCGAGAATCTGTCCTCATAATTAAATAAGAAAATAAAATTGCGTCTAAAAAATAAAGCCATTTTTCGAAAAAAAATCAATATTCAATATGCAAAAGCATTTTAAAAGCCACCAGTCTCAGTAACTGGTTATGAGGAATAACGGATCACATAATTCCATATGTGTGGATCAGCAAACATGGCACACAGCTCCAAATCTATTGTGTGATGGTTTGAAAGTAAATTTTAAATGATCGAATAGTTGCAAACAGAGGACTTTCTAGCCACAAAGTCTGAGAATGTTCTATCTAGCCTTTGTACAGAAAATGTTTTCTGACACCTGTACACTGGGGACACATAGTATAAGGCCTTAATAAAAGATAAGCTATTAGTGCGCCATGTTGATAGATAACAAGCCAGGTGCCGTTGGCTCAACCTTAATCCCAGCACTCTGGAGACGAGGCACGAGCGGCGTCCTTGAACTCAGGAGTTCAAGACCAGCTGAGCAAGAGTGAGACCCCGGCTCCACTAAAATAGAAAAAATTAGCCGGTGTGGTGGGTTTGCCTGTAGTCTCAGCTATTTGGAGGCTGAGGTAGGAGGTCGCTTGAGCCCAGGAGTTTGAGGTTGCAGTGAGCTATGATGACACCACTGACTCTAGCCCAGGCAACAGAGCAAGAGTCTGTCCTAAAAATAATAATAAATAATAATGTATCCATTGTTTTTTTTTTTAAGAGATGGAGTTTGCTCTGTCACCGTAGGTCTGGAGTGCCAAAGCATGATCATCGCTCAATACAGCCTAAACTCTAAGCTTAAGTGATCCGTTTCTCTTCCCTGAGGAGGACTATAGGGCACACCAGCTTTGTTTTTTTTTTGTAACGGGAGTCTTGCTTTGTGCCTGAGCGTAGAATGCCCTGGTGTTAGCCTAGCTCACTGCAACCTCAAAATCCTGGTCCCAGCCTGTAATCCTAGCTCTCTGGAGGCCAAGGCGACGGATTGCTCAAGGTCAGGAGTTCGAAACCAGCCTGAACAAGAGTGAGACCCATCTCTACTATAAATAAGAAAGAAATTAAGTTGGCCAATTGATATATATAGTATATAAAAGAAAATTAGCCGGGCATGGTGGCACAGCCTGTAGTCCCAGCTACTTGGGGCTGAGGTAGTAGGATCATTTGAGCCCAGGATTTTGAGGTTGCTGTGAGCTAGGCTGATGCCAGGGCACTCACTCTAGCCTGGACAACAAAGCAAGACTCTGTTCAAAAAAAAAAAAAAAAACTGGTCCATATTGCTTGCCTCCAAAGTGCTAGGATTACAGGAGTGACCCACCATGCCTGGCCTCAGCCTAATTTTTTTAAAAATACTTTTTTAAGGACCAAGTCTCACTTATGTTCACCAGGCTGGTCCCAAACTTCTGGCCTCAAGCAATCCTCTGGCCCGGGCCTCCCAAAAGGCTGGGATTATAGGCATGAGCCACAGTGCCCAGCCTAATCAGTATATCTTTCTTAACTAAGCATGTTAAACACTGAATCTTTTTCTTTACCCAGTAGTTTTACCATTTAAACATATCTAAACAGGAAAAAAAAATATTCTGTCTTAAGGAAATTTTATTTGCCTTTTCTGCTGCTGATTCAATCCCTTTTGTTTTACAGGAAGCTTAATAACTTCTTCATTTTCTTTGAATACTCTTGTTTTTCCCTTGAATGTGTACAGGAGCCTTTTGCTCTTTTAATTTCACTATGTACATGAAAGTAGGCGCTTAACAGTATTATATGTATATTTGTGTAGTCATGGCAGGCAAATGGGCAATTAAGACCAATAATATAAAATTATAGCTGCAGAGAGAGACAGAAAAGAGAAACTAACAAAAGCTAATAACTATAAATGCCACTTTCAATTATAATTCACAATTTTTTTTAAGTACTTGGAAATTAAACACAAATGCATTCAGGTAGGAGAGATTTCAGTTAACCATTTCTTTTCTGTCCTCCTAAAAGGAATGCCCATTCTATTTTGTAGTTTCCTCTGCTTGTCTTTTTTTTTTTTTTTTCTTCTGAGACAGTGTCACTTTGTTGCCCTGGCTAGAGTGCCATGGCGTTAGCCTAGTTCACAGCAACCTCAAACTCCTGGGCTCAAGCGATCCTCCTGCCTCGGCCTCCTGAGTAGCTGGGACTACAGGCATGCACCACCAAGACCAGCTAATTTTTTCTATATATTTTTAGTTGTCCAATTAATTTCTTTCTATTTATAGTAGAGACAGGGTCCCGCTCTTGCTCAGGCTGGTTTCGAACTCCTAACCTGGAGCAATCCACCCGCCTTGGCCTCCCAGAGAGCTAGGATTACAGGTGTGAGCCCCCACATCTGGCCTCTGCTTGTCTTTCAAAAGGAACTATCTTTTAACTTAAAGGTGTAAAGTTATCTCACTTCAGAGCTGTGAGTTCAACTGGAACTAGCTGACCGTGGTCAGGGTGAGTAAACTAAAGCTATCCAAAACATACATGTTCCATCCCAAACAGCCTCCCTAACTCCCCAAGCCTGCCTTTCTCTACACAACAGTTGATCACAGTCAATGTCATTGCCCCTCTTCCCTAGCCGCCTGGCCACTCACTTACCCAAGCTATATTTATAGCCTAAAAGATTCTCAATCCAAACCCAAACCCCTCCCCCTCTTGGAGATCTAAAATGTATCTGAACATTTATCTTTTTCCACTCTTTCTGCCCCATGTAGTCACCAAGGTGATGATTTCTTCACAGCCCTACCTTACTCAGCCCACTGTTGAAAATTTGTTCAATTTTGATAAGTGCCTGTCCTTGAGAGTCAGAAAGCTTGGGTTCAAATCTTGACTCTGAACTCAGCTATGACCCTAGGCAAATTCTTCAACTGCTCAAAATCTTAATTTTCTTTTTTGAGACAGAATCTCTATCTGTTGCTCAGGCTAGAGTGCTGTGGCGTCAGCCTAGCTCACATCAACCTCAAACTCCTAGGCTCCAGCAATCCTCCTGCCTCAGCCTCCCGAGTAGCTGGGACTACAGGCATGCGCCACCATGCCCAGCTAATTTTTTTTTTTGTATATATATTTTTAGTTGGTCAATTAATTTCTTTCTATTTTTAGTAGAGATGGGGTCTTGCTCTTGCTCAGGCTGGTTTCGAACTCCTGACCTTGAGCGATCCGCCCACCTCGGCCTCCCAGAGTGCTAGGATTATAGGCCTGAGCCACCACAATGGCCCAAAACCTTAATTTTCTAAATCCATACAATACATATGGATGATAGTAACTACCTTAGAGAGCTGTGCTGGGATTTACAGAATAAATGCTAAATTAATGTTGGCCATTATCATTTTTCAGAGCTGCCTACTCACTGATTCAGTCAGCTCACAAACGTTTATTGAACATCTATTATGTGCTTAACATGTTCCCAGGTCTGAGAATATGAGTATGAAAGAAAAGTCAAAGTCCCTGCCCCCTTGGACTTCACTTTTCTTGTGAGATTAAGGGGCAAATAAGTTGCACTCTAATTATTCCTTATTCTGGCACCGTCATACTGTTCAAATGACTCCCCATTTATAAAAGTTAGCAAAATTGCAAAAATGCCATAGAACTATGATCAAGAAAACTGGAGTACCTTCCTGTGAAGTCACATTATGCCTAAGAATTTTCATATAAGCAAATGTTTACATTACATGAAAAAAAGGATACAAAATTGAATGTAATATTATCGATTATGTTCTTTTAATTAAGATCAAAATCCTACATGTTAAATTTTAATATATTTAGGTGATTGGGTTGTAGGTGTGGGGACATAGAAAACAAGACCCCAAAATGAAGGTCTTAGAAGCAAAATTTCTGATGTTCTCTTGCCCTCCTGTCTCAAGTCCTTCATTCCCCCCGAAAGCCAAGTCATAGAAACTAGAAGTCCTCTTCCCCAAGACAGTACTGGAAAATAGAACCTTTTCCCCCAAAGCCAGCCATAAATCCAAAAAATATGACTCTGATCTCTCCCCTTTTTTTTTTTTTTTTTTTTTTTTTTTTGAGACAGAGTCTCCCTTTGTTGCCCAGGCTAGAGTGAGTTCCCTGGCATCAGCTAGCTCACAGCAACCTCAGGACTCCTGGGCTCAAGCAATCCTCCTGCCTCAGCCTCCCGAATAGCTGGGACTACAGGCATGCGCCACCATGCCCGGCTAAATTTTTCTGTATATATTAGTTGGCCAATTTATTTCTTTCTATTTATAGTAGAGACGGGGTCTCGCTCTTGCTCAGGCTGATTTCCAACTCCTGACCTTGAGCCATCCGCCTGCCTCGGCCTCCCAGAGTGCTAGGATTCCAGGTGTGAGCCACCGCCAGGCCTTCCTGCCAGGCCTTCCTCGCCTTTTTGTGTAACAGCTAGCCATGAAGAAATTAAGACCCTCATTCCAGAGGGATCCTACGGACACCCAGAAGGAAGAATAATGCTACAACAGAGAGGCCAAGAATAATATGGAGAGGCCTTGCTAGTTTTCCCCACTCAGTCTATTTCTAGTAGCTCATCTGTCCCTGCTTCCTGGAACCTAAGTATAAAACCAGATAGTTTCCCCTCTACCTTTGGGTCTCCATTCGGAAGGCTCCCGTAGCACGTAAAACTATAATTAAATAAATATGTTATGCTTTTCTCTTGTTAACTTGTGTTTCATTAGAGAGCTCTCAGCTGTGAATCTTACAATGGGTAAGGAAAGGTATCACCTCCTTTCCCCACCTACATAGGTAATCATTAGTTTTCTGTTTTTTTAAAAATACAGGAAGCACTCTGGGAGGCGGAGGCAGATTGCTCAAGGTCAGGAGTTCAAAACCAGCCTGAGCAAGAGGGAGACCCCGTCTCTACTATAAATAGAAAGAAATTAATTGACCAACTAATATATACATAAAAAGTTAGCTGGGCATGGTGGCGCATGCCTGTAGTCCCAGCTACTCGGGAGGCTGAGGCAGGAGGATCGCCTGAGCCCAGGAGTTTGAGGTTGCTGTGAGTTAGGCTGATGCCACAGAATTCACTCTAGCCTGGGCAACAAAGTGAGACTCTGTCTCAAAAAAATATATAAATAGATAAAATAAAATAAAAATACAGGCTATCTTTTAAAGCACATTGGCTATTTTAGGAAGTCCTTTTTTAAAAATATAACTTCAGGCCGGGGCGTGGTGGCTCACGCCTGTAATCCTAGCACTCTGGGAGGCTGAAGTGGATTGCTCAAGGTCAGAAGTTCAAAACTAGCCTGAGCAAGAGTAAGACCCTGTCTCTACTATAAATAAAAATATATTAATTGGCCAACTAATATATATAGAAAAAAAATTAGCCGGGCATGGTGGAGCATGCCTGTAGTCCCAGCTACTCGGGAGGCTGAGGCAGGAGGATCGCTTGAGCCCAGGAGTTTGAGGTTGCTGTGAGCTAGGCTGATGCCACAGAATTCACTCTAGCCTGGGCAACAAAGGGAGACTCTGTCTCAAAAAAAAAAAAAAAAAAAATGTAATTTCATACCACGGAGATACCTAATCCTTTCTACCTATTTTAAGCAAACAAGTTTGAAATGAAAATTTAAAAGTGCAGGAAATGGGTCCGGTGCGGTGGCTCATGCCTGTAATCCTAATACTTTGGCAGGCAGTGGCCAGAGGATTGCTTCAGGCCAGGAGTTTGAGACTAGCCTGAGCAACATAGGGAGTCCCTGACTCTACAAAAAATAGAAAAATGAGAGGGGCGTGGTGACACACACCTGTAGTCCCAGCTACCAGGGAGGCTGAGGCAGGGGTTGAAGTCAGCTAAAATAAGGGTCTGGTTGTAGAAGCAAAGCAATCCACTTGTAACTGAATGCATATTCTGCCAGCCGCATGTTGTAGCATTTTACTACACCCCAGACTGACAGCTATCTGCTTCTGTAAACAGCTTGCTTTGAGATAGTTCTCGGGAGCAGGGGCTCAAGGCCAGGCCAGGGCTCTGGCCATCTGGAGGGAACATGATAAAATGTAGAAAACAATACCCTCACTTATGTGCCTCTAGTCACATAAGCCCCCTGTGACTGTGCTTGAACAATTAGATAATTTTTTAGAGTGTGGTTTTTGTCTTTAAAAGGGGCTATTTTTTCTAGCTCATCTCTACTTTTCTGTGCCTGCCACTCTGCCGGACAGAAGTAGTCCTGGCCAGTAGCTAAAGACTCACAATGTGACCCAATTCGGTTTCTAAGGTGGTCTTTTCTAGCACTTTGGACCATAACAGCAGGAGGATAGCTTGAGCCCAGGAGTTGGAGGTTGCAGTGAGCTATGATGATGCCACAGCACTCTAGCCCTGGAGACAAAGTGAAACTCTGTCTCAAAAAAAAAAAAAAGTGCAGGAAAACGTAGGTAGGCTCTATTTTTGATCACTTTCTCCATTCAGGATGGTTTCCAGTATAAAGAGAAGTTTTTCATTTACTCCCGTGAGCAGAACCCAGTGTTCATAGAATAGGACAATATAGAGTTGTGTTGTCTTGCCTAATAAAAATATTACACAGCCAGGTATGTAATTTTAAATTTTCTAGTAGCCACATTAAAGAAGTACAAAGAAACAAATTAAGTTAATTTTAACAATATACCTTATTTAACGCAATGTATCCAAAAAGTTAATGCTTCAACATGTAATCAATGTAAGAATTTTTGGTGAGACATTTTACATCGTTTTTTTGTCCTGAGCCCTCCGAAATCAGATGTGTATACAAGTCAAATCAGACTTACCACATTTCCAGTATTCAATAGCCACCCACATGTGGCAAGTGGCTCCCACATTAGACCTGGCAGGCCTAGAGCAACAATTAATATAATAAAAACACCAGAAGCAACAAAAGACACCTCAATGATGGCCAATCAAAAAGTTATGTTAGATACAAAAGAGCACTTACTGAATGACCTCATTCTATGAAGTTCTAGAACAGGCAAAACTAAGCTATGACAGCAATCAGAACGGGGGGTGGGGTGCGATCGGAAAGAGGCAAGAGGGGAACTTTCCTGGCTGATGGAAGTGGCCTATGTCTACCTTGGGACAGTGGTTACACGAGTGTGTACTCTGTCAAATCCCGTCGATCTGCACACTTAAAACGGGGCATTTTATTGTATGTAAAATATACATCTTTTTTTTTAAATGTCGCCCCCAAAAAGCTGTTCTATAGTAGAAGCGTAGTTTGGCAGTGTTCGCCCTAACAGCTAACTAATCGGGGAAATGCGAGAGTAGTGGTTTAACGGGTACGCCGGGGCCGGGGAGAGGACAGAAAGCCATGTCACCCGCGCTGATCGCCGCCTCACCCGACCCCTGCTCGGGGCTTCACTTCCGCCAACGCCATCTCGGGGCTCTCCCCGCTGCAGAGGGCGAGGATACATGGGGCTCGGGGAACCGGCGGGGACTGAGAGGAGCGGCCCCAGGCCCCGGCCCGCCGTAGGACAGGCTTCGATGGCACAGAGCACCGGCGGGAGTCCTCTGGTCCCCGCGCCACCCCCGGCAGCCGAGGTCTGGACCGAGGGGTGCAGCACGCGCGGGACTCCGGGCGGGGCTCAAACTCTGCGCCGGAGAAGGCGCGGGCGCCATCGGGGAGGGGACAAAGGCGCCCTGCCCCTCGCGCGCGCCAGGGCTGAGGACGCAACACTGGGGCGGGAAGGTTTTGGGGACGCGCGGTGACCCCGGCGCCGAGACTCTCGGGGTCCGGGGCAGGCCCAAGCGGGGAGTTAGTTACCTTTGCGGCGGTGGCAGCGCCAGGGAGGGTGGCCAGTGGCGACCGCGGGCTCCGCCCTGCGGCCGGCCTGACGCTCACCTGTCTGGCTGGGGAGAGGGCCGCCGCTGGGGTGGCCCGAAGTCGCCACCGGGTCCTTCCCGCCGCCCGCGTGGACCCTGGGGTGCGCGGCGCCCTCCTTGCCCACCTTCCTCTCTCCGCCCTGCTGCTGGCCTCGCTGACTCACGCTGGTGAGCTCGGGGCTTGCACCCGTGTGTGTGCAAAGGTCCAAAACAAACGCCTAAAAAGTGATCCCTCCGGCACAGGCAGCTCCCGTCACCCTCTGCTCTGGACACACTTGGCCCCAGGGCTCCCTCGGCCCAGGCCCTGCTCCTCCCTCCGCTGGCTCACTTTGCGAAGCCACCTCGGGTGCGCGCCTGAACTCCACGGGTCCCGGCGAGCCCAGGTCCTCCGGTCCACTCCTCACCCTTGCAAAGAGCTTCACCCGTCTCCGACGTCGGCGGATCCCCTCCTGCGCGCCGGGAACTGCAGGAGCGCTCGGAAGAGGAGGAAAATTAAACAAAACTCCAGCCTTTGAGGAGCTCCCAGTCTGGTGGGAAGTCTACCCGGGTGTTGGAAGCCGTGTAGGTTCCCGACCGCGAAGAAAAGCTGCGGGGGGTGGGGAGGGGGAGGAGAGGAGAAAAAGGCAATTAAGGCTTCCCTGAGTGACTTTTTTAGAAAGGGTATTTGGACGGTGGTTGACGCTGAGAAAAGATACAGGAGGTTATTCAGGCGAAGGGAAGTACTTAAACAAACCACTGAAGGAGAAAGGAGCTAACTGAGGACAACAGAAGGGTTTGAAGTGAGAAGGAAGGTTTAGGAAAGTGGCAGAAATATTGCATAACCTGTGTGAGACACTAAAGTGACAAGTTAGACAAGAGTCATTGAAGACCTAGTAGAGTTTAGACACTATAATTGTGGTCCAGCAAGATGATGGCTCACGCCTGTAATCTCATTATTTTGGGGGGTCAAAGTGGGAGGATCGCTTGAGCAACAATAGTGAGACTCCATCTCTACCAAAAATAGAAAAATTAGCTGGCTGTGGTGGTCCCCACCAGTAGTCCCAGCTACTTTGGAGACTGAGGCAGGAGGATCACTGGAGCCCAGGAGTTTGAGGTTGCACTGAGCTATGATGATGCCATGGCACTATAGCCCAGGGAACAGAGCAAGACCCTGTCTCAAAAAAAAAAAAAAGAAAAGAAAAGAAACACCATAATTATATAGGGATGTCCAGGTATAATTTTGCAAGATATTTATATCAATATAGATCTTAGTGATAAAAACTGAGTTTTCTGGTTGAGTAGAGTAGGACAGAAGGGTGAAGAAGTGGAAAGCACTGAAAGAATGTGACAACTAGTCATAGGGGACAGGAACCAAAACCAGCAGGGAGCTGACTGACTGGGAGACACAGGAGATAAGGCCTCAAAGACCAGCACCTCTGAGGAGAGGACTGGCAAATTGGCAGTAGAGACTGTGGCTTTGGAGTTCAAGCCTTCAAAGAGGAAGCAATTCCAGGAGATGACACAGTTTAGGCATGGCTGTTAGAATGGACTAGAAAAGTAAGATGAGTGTCACTGGACTCGGGTCTAGTGCCCCAAAGGCTGGTGTTTTGGAAATCGAGGGCCCCAGAAGGATGGCAGAAGGTGGAACAGTCAGTTAAGGCCAAGGATCTTCAGGGAATGTGGGAGAATGACCCTGAAACTAATAGATGACTGCAACAAGGAAGGGGACAGGGTTGTGAAACTTAAGTCAATAAATTTCTGCAGGGCCCAATGGCTCTATAATCTTAGCACTCTGGGAGGCTGAGGCGGGAGGATTGATTGAGCTCAGGAGTTCCAGACCAGCCTGAGCAGGAGCAAGATCCTGTCTCTACTGAAATTACAAAAATTAGCTGGGCCTGATGGCATGCACCTGTAGTCCCAACTACTCAAGGCTGCGGCAGGAGGATCACTTGAGCCCAGGAGTTTGAGGCTGCAGTGAGCTACAATGACACCACTGCACTTTACCCAGGGACACAGAGTGAGACTTGTCTCATAAAAAAAAAAAAAGGAATGAATTTCAAATCAAAATGGAGTTTTTCCCCACCAAGGATGAAAAAGCAAAGTCATGGAGGAAGCAGTAAGGAGTTTAGAATGCCAACTTCAGGGAAAATATGCTGCTGAGGCTTCACTCAGCAGGGCATCCTTGGGGGAGGCCGGGTTGTGGGGTCTCCATTAGAAAAATAAAAAAGAGGAAATGCCTTGTCAACAGGCTGGGGGAGTTTGCTAATGAAACAAGCCTTCCACAGAGCCTGGTAGGGAGGATGTTTGTGAAAAGGGTTGGTTTGGATGCTGATGCTTAACTGAATACCTGCTGCATTTGTGAGGTTGCCTCCAGCATTCCTGTCTTCCATTTCCTTTTTACAACCTGGACAGTTATTATGATCCCCTTTTTAGAATGAGAAACCTGAGGCCCAGAGATGTGAAATGTCTTCACCAAGGATATGGCAAAGCCAGGACATCAATGCACAGCCTGACTCTGCACCACAGGATGTGGGGCCTCATCCAATTATCTTACTCCATTCATCTGTGCAGCTAATGAATGAAAGATATTATGTAAATACAAAGTGGCCATTGTAACAACTAGTGTACTATTAATCCCAAATGGAAAAAATACTGAGCAGAGAAACAAACTTGATAACAGGGTGCCCCTTGACTAAATTGTGTGGAATAAGGGTTTGTCCTCATTAAACAAGTTTTCATTCGTGGCTTGCCACGAGCATAACATTTTGCTGGATCATCAAGATGATTTTTTTAAAAAGGAAACCCATCATTAAAGTGGATTGCTGGCCGGTCTCCGTGGCTCACGCCTGTAATCCTAGCTCTCTGGGAGGCCGAGACAGCAGGATTGCTCAAGGTCAGGAGTTCGAAACCAGCCTGAGCAAGAGCGAGACCCCGCCTCTACTAAAAATAGAAAGAAATTAATTGGCCAACTAATATATATAGGAAAAATTAGCCGGGCATGGTGGCGCATGCCTGTAGTCCCAGCTACTCGGGAGGCTGAGGCAGGAGGATTGCTTGAGCCCAGAAGTTGAAGTTGCTGTGAGCTAGGCTGATGCCATGGCACTCTAGCCTGGGCAACAGAGTGAGACTCTGTCTCAAAACAAACAAAAAAAAGGCCCGGTGTGGTGGCTTCTGCCTGCAATCCTAGCACTCTGGGAGGCAGAGGCACGCTGATTGCTCTAGGTCAGGAGTTCCAAAACAGCCTGAGCAAGAGCAAGATCCCATCTCTACTACAAATAGAAAGAAATTAATTGGCCAACTCATATATATATATATAAAATTACCTGGGCATAGTGGCTCATGCCTGTAGTCCCAGCTACTCGGGAGGCTGAGGCAGGAGGATCTCCTGAGGCCAGGAGTTTGAGGTTGCTGTGAGCTAGGCTAACGCCAGGCCACTCACTCTAGCCTGGGCAACAGAGTGAGACTCTGTCTCAAAAAAAAAAAAAAAAAAAGTCGATTGCTTATGTTCTTTTACAATCTATTTTTATTTTGAAGAACTTTACTTTTCAGATCAGTTGTAAAACTGCCTTCTGTACCCCACCTCTACTGTAGGAAGGCCCAGAACTGTACTCCTTTTGCAGGTAAGGAAACTTAAAGGGCAAAAAGAATGAATAAAAAGTCAAGTTTATTCACCTACCAGATGGTGGAGATAGCCCCCATCCTAGGCTTCACACTCAAATTCTAGGCTTTTTGCAATCATACTTAAATATCCTTTTCTGGAAAGTGTCAACCACTTTCAAATTCTCACTGACTTAATAAACTCTAGAAAGGCATTGGTCCCAAGACATCTACAGACTTTCAAAGCTGAATCAATACTCAGACTCTAAAAAATGAGATGGAATGTCATTAATGCCACTGCATTAACTTAAAATGGTTAAAATGGCAAATTTATGTTACGTATGTTTACCACATTTTCGAATTTTAATAGTGTAATATACCAAAAATCTATACCATTGAATTGTGCACTTTAAACAAGTGAATTGTAAAATATGTGAATTATATCCCAATAAAGCCATTTTGGGGAAATAAACAGGTTGGGCTTGTTACGCTAAAATCCTGGACTTGAATAAAATGTAAATATAATAGGTCAGGCTAGAAAACTGTACAGCAGGGAAATCAGAATTGTAATCACTTCCTCATGTACACAACCCCTCCACCCCCACCCCCACCCCGGTCACCAGGACTGTCCTACTCTTCTCAAAATTGTTGGGGAGTTGGGGAAGGAATCAAGAGTGGTCTTGCACAATAGATCATGGAAATTGTGCTTAGGAAATGTGTTCATGAACTCTACACTCTGAAGGGGTAGTTGTTCACATAGCCATTTTTTTGTTGTTTTTTTTTTACATGTTATTGAGGAAAAAGTTAAAAGTATAGAAAAGTAAATATCAAAGTGTAATCGATGACACCCAGTGTAATCAATGACACCCAGCTTCAACAACCCACGGCCAGTCTTGTTTCATCTATATCCCCACCCATAACCCCCCATCCTGTATGAATTTGAAGCACATTCCAGACCATATTATCATTTATTTGGTAAACATCAATGTGACTCTTTGAAGGATAAGAACTCCTTTAAACACAGACACACACACACACAAGATACCATTACTACAATTTAAAAATTAACAATTCTGGCCAGTGGCAGTGGCTCACGATTCTAATTCTACCACTTCGGGAGGCTGAGGCAGGAGAATTGCTTGAGGCCAGGAGTTTAAGACCAGCCTGATCAAGAGTGAGATCCCCCCAAATTAGAAAAATTTAGCTGGGCATGGTGGTGTGGGCCAGTAGTCCCAGCTACACGGGAGGCTGAGGCAGGAAGATCGCTTGAGCCCAGGAGTTGGAGGTTGCAGTGAGCTTTGATGATGTCACTGCACTCTAGCCTGGGCAACAGAGCAAGACTCTGTCTCAAAAAAAAAAATTAACAATTCGTATATCTACCCACTTTCGAATGGATTAACAAAATATGGAATAGTATTCAGTCTTAAAGAGAAGAAAAGAAATTGATGTGCTAGAACTTGGATGAACCTTAAGAAGCCAATCACAAAAGGCTCACGCCTGTAATCCTAGCTCTCTGGGAGGCCGAGGCGGGCGGATCACTGGAGGTCAGGAGTTCAAAACCAGCCTGAGCAAGAGCAAGACCCCGTCTCTACTATAAATAGAAAGAAATTAATTGGCCAACTAACATATATAGAAAAAATTAGCCAGGCATGGTGGCGCGTGCCTATAGTCCCAGCTACTCGGAGGCTTGAGCCCAGGAGTTTGAGGTTGCTGTGAGCTAGGCTGACGCCATGGCACTCACTCTAGCCTGGGCAACAAAGTGAGACTCTGTCTCAAAAAAAAAAAAAAAAAAAAAAAAGCTTAAGAACAAGTTGAATGAAAATGAAAGTAAAAAATAAAAAAAATAAAAATAAAAAAAACAAAAGGCAAATACTGAATGATTTCACTTACACCAGCGGTCCCCAGCTTTTTTGGCACCAGGGACAGGTTTCATGGAAGACAAGTTTTCCACCCAGGGTGTGGGGTGGCGGAGGGCATGATGGGGGTGGGGGAGCTCTGTGGTCAGCCTGGTCCCTAACAGGCCAGGGACAGGGTGTTGGGGACCTCAGACTTATACCAGGTATCTAAAGCAGTCCAATCCATGGAGACAGAAAGTAGAATGCTGGTTGCCAAGGGTCAAGGTGGGAGGGAGGCAGGAATGGAGAGTTGTTTAATAGTTTCAGTTTAGCCAGATGAAACTAGTTCTGGAAATTGGTTGCACAGCAATATGAATGTACTTAACATAACTGAATTATACGCTTAAAAATGATTAAGATGGTAAATTTTGTGTTAAAATGGTAAATTTTGTGTATTTTACAATTAAAAATATTTTTCATTTCACAATTCCTTGATTTTATCAACTATCCAGTGTCCAAATTTCCCATTCTTATAAGTGTCATACTTTTTTTCCTCAATGTGTTTACTGAATTAGGATCCTAATGAAATGTATGAGTGGCCATGGGTTTCCTTTCTTTCTTTTTTTATTTATTTATTTATTTTTTTTTTCCATTTTCAGTTGGCCAATTACCTTTTTTTTTTTTTTTTTTTTTCCATTTTTCGTTGGGCCAATACCTTTTTTTTTTTTTTTTTTAGTAGGCTGGTCTTGAACTTCTGAGCTGCAACGATCCACCCGCCTCGGCCTCCCAGAGAGCTAGGATTACAGGCGTGAGCCACCGCGCCCGGCCGGGTTTCCTTTCTTAAGCGTTGTTTTAATCAATGGGTTGCCCACCCCACCCCACCCCACCCCTCTTCCTTGTTATTTATTTGAAGAAATAAGGTGGTCTGTCCTATTGTTTCTCAGTCTAGATTCTGCTGACAGCCTCCCATGGTGTTAACACCTTCCTCTGCCCTCTGTATTTCCTGTAAATTGGACTTAGACGCCTTGTGTTAGTTTAGATTTGGGCTCAGGAGGAGGCTAAAGACATCCATTTCCGCGGGAGCCCGGGCCCAGCTGGACCTGAAAAAGCCAGGCTAAGTCACCAGCCAAGCTGCTCAGAGGCAATCATAAAAAGAGACTGGGTAGGGCTGTGACAAAGACGCTGTTCACACGCCTGGGTCCGTCATCTAGCTACAAAGCAGGGAGGGAGGAAAAGAGACGGGGCGGAGCTACGCTGGGAAAGCCCTTTGTCCCCTTTCCACGCGTACGAGGAATTTGTCACAATCCACGTAGGCAGGGGCAGAGCCTTTGGACGGAAGTGATGCACGCGCGGCCGGCGGCAGAGGCGTCACAGAGGCGGAGAAACGGCTGTACGGACTGCGCCGGCGTCGCTCTCACTTCCGGCCTTCTACCAGGGCGACCCGCAGAGTAGAACCCGAGGCGGGGAGCTGTAGCTGGGGTCTCCAGTGTCCGGGACCGCGGCAGCGGCCCCGCTGGCGGGATGTTTCGGGGGTTGAGCGTTTGGTTGGGCTTGCAGCAGCCGGCGACAGGCGGTGGGCAGTCCGAGGGAGACTGGCAGCCCAAGCAAGACGCTCCGCCCGAGCAACAATCCGAGACGGTGGCGGAGCCCGCGGAGGAGGAGCGGGAGGAAGCTGGGGACCAGGAGCTGCTCCACCAGGCCAAAGGCCTGGGCAGTGAGTCTCCCCTGGCCAGCGGGGGCTGGGGGGCGCATTTCTTCCGACATCACTGGGGCGCTAGTTGGGGTGGGGGGCGTGTTGGCTGAGAGGCAGGGGAGGAAGGCATGTCTGCAGGTCAGTCCTCTCCGGGTTGGGAGACATTAGTGAGGATCTGGGCAAGGCTGAAGCTTCTTGTAGCAGTCAAGTCCTTTCCCTGAAGTTCCTGGTGACAAGTCACTCTTGGCAGAGTTTGTAAACATTGGAAGCAGGTCCACAGGAAAGCAGTGTGGTCCGACGTCCTCAGGTTGGACAAGGAACCTTTTTTTGTTCAACTCACAAAATTTCACCTTCACCCCCACCCGCCAAGACACGAAACGTTGGCGAGCTTCGATTGGTTAGAAAGTGCTTTTTTGCTCTTGGGGCAAACGTGTTGTTCCAAGTAAATTGACAGATACTGAATGTCCTTCCTGGTCTTCCGCTTTTTAGGTGCAGAAGGACCTTTTCCCTTAAGGTGGGAGAGGAGATGCCAATTGCCTGCTGTGTGCAGGCTGGGGTACCACATGTGTTATGATACCTCATTTCATCTGTTAAACACCCCCAGTGTATTGGGGGAACAAGCCCAGAGTTAGTAAGCCAAAGTTTAATAAGTGGTAGAAATGGAATTTGAAACTAGATCTAATTTCAAAGCCAAGTTTACAGTCTAGTTAAGGAGGGGGGGGAATAATACTACATGCTATACTACTCTGATTCTGAAGAGACCTTGGTGGGCTTCAGTAGTCAAAGCGTCTTCGAGGAAATGTTCCCTAAAGTAGACCAGCATTACAAGTGAGAGAGCTGCAGCAATTGGGAATATTAAATTTAGCAAGTATTTTTAAAGAATCTGCTAAAGAGACAGAGACAAAGGGGGGTATGGGGGAAGAGAAAAGCATCAGAGTGGAGAAACACATATTTGAATAAGAAAGGCCCTGACATTCAAAAAGTATACCATACACAGAGAGACAGGTAAAACAGACATAATCTCAAATCAAAGCAGCGCATAATCTCAGCCCAAGGCCACCAAATAGTGCACAAAAAAGAAGAAAACTAACTGCTGTGCAATAAAATCACTAAAAAGGGAATGACTGTTTCTCATGTAGAAAATTGGGAAGGGATGGACTTGGAATATTCAAGATGTGGAGATGCATTTATTAGAGCAGAGAGATATATTAGGTAGTCAAGATAGATAAGATTGGGAGTCCGTTAGGAAAAGCAAGGTAGAGGTGTTTATTTCATAGAAAACAGCCATTTTCATTTATCATGGGAATGTCAAAAGTAGCTTCTTAAAACTTAGAGCTTTACTGTCAACTTGAAACCTCATGTTTGTATTTAGTAATAAAGACCTCTGAATATTTTCTAATAAATGAATTTTTTATAGGGCTATCTACTTTGAAGGTAATGCTGCCATCTTTCCTCAATGATTCTCTTTTGATATTTGGGGAGGCTGTAGTTAGATGGAAGTACCCTTTTGTTTCTGAAATTTATGTGATTTTAGAAAGATGTAAAGGTTCTAATTCATATACAGACTTTTTTTTTTTTTTTTTTTTTTTGAGACAGAGTCTCACTCTGCTGCCCTGGCTAGAGTGCCGTGCCATCAGCCTAGCTCACACCAACTGGGCTCAAGCGATCCTTCTACCTCAGACTCTCAAGTAGCTGGGACTACAGGCATGTGCCACCATGCCCGGCTAATTTTTACTATATATTTTTAGTTGGCCAATTTCTTTCTATTTTTTTAGTAGAGACGGCGTCTTGCTCTTGCTCAGGCTGATTTCAAACTCCTGACCTCCAGCCATCCTCCCACCTTGGCCTCCCAGAGTGCTAGGATTACTCTGGGAGTGCTAGTGGGTGAGCCACCATGCCCAGCCCTGAAAGTATCTTTTCTTATTCAGGGTAAATTGGGTTGTTGGTTTTTGTTAAAGTCAACCAAATTAGAGCTTTTTCTATACTCTTTCTTAAAAAACAAACACAAACAAAAACCTGCACCTCTGGGAGTGTTAAATACCTGAGTCATTCACACAGTTTACTTCAAGGGAAGGGTGGCCAAAGATGAGCTTTGGCTTTTTCAAAACCATCCCTAAGGCCGGGCACTGTGGCTCACGCCTGTAATCCTAGCTCTTGGGAGGCCGAGGCGGGCGGATTGCTCAAGGTCAGGAGTTCAAAACCAGCCTGAGCAAGAGCGAGACCCCGTCTCTACTATAAATAGAAAGAAATTAATTGGCCAACTGATATATATATAAAAATTAGCCGGGCATGGTGGCGCATGCCTGTAGTCCCAGCTACTCAGGAGGCTGAGGCAGAAGGATTGTTTGAGTCCAGAAGTTTGAGGTTGCTGTGAGCTAGGCTGATGCCACGGCACTCACTCTAGCCTGGGCAACAAAGCAAAAAAAAACCATCCCTAAGACCAGTCCATGCCCAGGAATGGAGGAAGGGCCACCTCCTTGTCCCTCTTCCTTCTCCTTTGAAAAGTACTATTGCTGTGGAACTATGTTAATTAGGCTGTCGTCCTTTTTTTTCTATAGGGAAAATATATTCCAAGTTCCTGATGCCTGACTGGGCAACTAAGAGGGCTCCAAAAGTTAGTGTGTAGGTAGGAAATGTGAGTCTGCTTTAACGCAAAATTAAAAATGCAGGTGTCCCCTCTTGTCTTTTTGACCAGAGCTGTCATATGGCTTTTCTAAGCTTCAGAGGACTCTCACAAAGCAAGTATCTGGCAGACATCCTGGGCGAGGCAGTACCATTACCTTGGTTAGTGTACATTTGTCAAGGTTCATTCGCTGAGGCTGGTCACATAGGCACCCATCAAAATTGGAGTGGTTTTGGCAAGGAGGAAGGAGATAGCCTACTAGCTAGACAGTCAGCAAGGTCTGCCCCTATCATGTTGGCCAAATCATTTTTCCTCTGTGAGCCTCAGTTTCCCTTTCTGTGAACTGGGCAGATTATACCTACTCTTCTTCCCAGGAAGGTTATGAGAATAAAATGACATAATGAAAAAGAAGGTAAAATAACTGTTAGCTCTCTGCCCCAACCTTCCATAAAGTTGCTAAGTCACACGCACAAATGTTTGAATTTGACTTCCGTTTCTTCTTTGGAACTACTTCATTTCGGATCTTCTATTTGTGCCTAAGTTCCTGAAGTGGACATTGTACTCCTGTTACTTCCTGTTAACTCTTATCTTAGTCTCAATTTTTCCTAGCTAGGCCAGGCGTAGTGGCTCCTGCCTGTAATCCTAGCACGCCGGAGTTCAAAGGTGATGCTCCAGTAGGGGATCGAAACCACCTGAGTGAGACCTGCATCTGTACAACAAAAAAGAAAGAATTATTGATAGCTAAAAAATAATTAGGAACAAAAAATAGGGGCAGCGGTCGGCACACTAGTCCCAGCTACCAGAGCGGAGGCAGAAGATTTACCAGAATTTGAGTTGCTGTGCTACTAAGCTGATGCCACGGCACTCACTTAGCCTGTCAACAAATGAGCACTCTGTCCAAAAAAAAAATAAAAAAAAACAATTTTTCCTCTAGTTGATAAAAGCCCCTCCTTAACCTGGCAGTTACTCTACTAAAATTAAGAAAACTATTTCATCGTCTTTGTGCTCTTACCTGAGAATCTCTCTAATCCCTTCCACTCAACACACTAACCTTGCGTGAAAACACTCTTAATTACTCACAGCGATCCCCTCCCATGGGTGCTGTCAACTTCCTGTTAATGAATAATCTTGCTCCTCTTATTATCTTTGATTTTGTATTTATTTTGGTTTAGAAGCGAACATTCCTTGAAGGCAAGAACTATGCTTTCTGGAACATTCAGTATCCTATCCCACCCACAAGTCGTTAAAATTAGAATTGGATCTATTATGCAAAATACCACTTTATTCTTTTTTTTTTTTTTTAGACGATCTCACTCTTTGCCCAGGCTAAATGCTGTGTGTCACCTAGCCACACAACCTCCAAACTCCTGGCTCAACATCTGCTCCTCCAGCCTCCCGAGAGTGGGACATTACAAATGATGCCACTATGCCGCTAATTTTCTATTTTTTAGTAAGATACGATCTTGCTCTGCTTAGGCGGTCCGAACTCCTCTCAAACGACCAACCGCTCAGCTCTCCAGAGCTTGTATAACAGCATGACCACGTCTCGCTAAAATCCCTTTTTTATTTTTTAATTTTTTTAATTTTTTTTTTTTTAGACAGAGCTCCTTTGTTTCCCAGCACATGAACCGTGGCTCACGCTAAGTCACAGCAACCTCAAACCCTGCTCACAAGCTGATTCCTCCTCGTCAGTCCCGATACTGGGACACAGCTATGCCAACCCAGCCGGCTAATTTTTAATAGGCTATATTCTAATCACTTGGCAATTAAATTTCTTTTCTATTTATAGACAACGGGCTCGCTCTTAGCTCATAGCCAGTGCTGGTTTTGAACTCCTGACCTTGAGCAATCCGCCCGCCTCGGCCTCCCAAGAGCTAGGATTACAGGCGTGAGCCACAGCGCCCGGCCTAAAATACCAGTTTTTAAATCCTAGTTCTCCCTTAGTATAAAAATGACAGTTTGAATTCAAAATGTATTGCAGAGGAAATCTTAAAAGGAATTTCTTTCTAAAAGAACCCACTTTTAGAACTTTAGATTTCTTTGTCTGCAAAACATAGTTTTACAAAGTAGTGTCGCTGTCTTCCCATTTCATCACACCAGCGTAAATAGACAAGTCATAACCAAAGAGAGATGAGTGATCTCCCTAAAGCTCAGCATTTATCATGTCCTCCCCATTCGTCCATTCAACAAGTACTTATTGGTCACCCAGTAGCAATACAGTGGTGAGTCAGAGAGCCTTGATCCCTGCCCTGATGAGGCTTAGGATGGGCCTGCAGTCTAGCTGAGAAGACATTCACCAAGTAATCGATAGAGTGTGCTGGAGGTTGTTGATCGGGAACACATCTAAGAAGCAATCACCCCAATCAAGGGGCCAGGGAACGTTTCCCTAGGAGAAGTGATATTTAAATGGAGACCTACAAGATGTGTAGAGTTAGCCAGATAAAGGAAGGGCAGATAAAAGTGTTTCAAACCCAGAAATAACATAGTTGAGGCTTCCTTGGAGGTACTAAAGAATTTCCCTGTGGTCACGTGAATGTAGACTAGGAGGGAGAGAATAGTGAGGACGAGACCAGAGATAAGTAGCAAGTAGCATCCTGTGGTCTAGTCCTGGTGGGTATTTTTGTTTTGTTTTTTTTTTTTTTTTGAGACGGGGTCTCACTTTGTTGCCCAGGCTAGAGTGCCGTGGCATCAGCCTAGCTCACGGCAACCTCAAACTCATGGGCTCAAGCAATCCTTCTGCCTCAGCCTCCCGAGTAGCTGGGACTACAGGCATGTGCCACTGTGCCTGGTTAATTTTTTTCTATATATTTTTAGTTAGCCAATTTCTTTCTATTTATAGTAGAGACGGGGTCTAGCTTTTGCTCGGGCTGGTCTCGAACTCCTGACCTTGAGCAATCCTCCCTCTTCGGCCTCCCAGAGAGCTAGGATTACAGGCGTGAGCCACCATGCCCAGCCCCATTGCCATTCTTATCAGGCCTTCTCCCTGCTGGAATATCCTGATTTCCACCTGCCTACCCCCTTGACAGGTGCAAGTCACAGAGGCAAGACTGCCGGAACATGTGGAATATTTCTTCTGAGATGAGGATCTCAGTTGCTCATGAGCATGACCTACCTCGTGTCTCTTCCTGCAGCCCGGATTCTGTAGGGTGTGGACTCTGAAATGATATTTGTCTACACGTGGGCCTTTATATTATAGTGCCATAGAGCCTTAACACATGTGTCTTTTCCGGTCTTCAGGAAAGCTGATTCTGTGATTTGGCTTTGTAAAGGTGAAAGTTTGTGTGGTCTAGTTTTAACCTTGTTCTACATTTTTGTTCCTCATTTCTTAAGGATCTATGTTTTTATTAGGGCTTGCCAGATTTCTGTTTATTATTCAAAAATTCTCCCAGATCTATCATAGGAGAATCTATCATCTATCAAGGGAAAAAACAGGTTAAACTAGAAAAGGAGGGATATTTTTTGTTTGCACAGGAGGGAAGGAAGAAAAAATAAAGATGAGATACTTGGGGTCTAGAAAGGAAGGAAAGTATAAAGGAGGCTTGTTCTTTTTTTTTTTTTTTTTTGAGACAGAGTCTCGCTTTGTTGCCCAGGCTAGAGTGAGTGCCGTGGCGTCAGCCTAGCTCACAGCAACCTCAAACTCCTGGGTTCAAGCGATCCTTCTGCCTCAGCCTCCCGAGTAGCTGGGACTACAGGCATGTGCCACCATGCCCGGCTAATTTTTTCTATATATGTTAGTTGGCCAATTAATTTTATTTCTATTTATAGTAGAGACGGGGTCTCGCTCTTGCTCAGGGTGGTTTCGAACTCCTGACCTCAAGCAATCCGCCCGCCTCGGCCTCCCAGAGTGCTAGGATTACAGGCGTGAGCCACCGCGCCCGGCCAGGAGGCTTGTTCTTATTGGTAAAGAAGGAGGGGAGACTGTTTACTGATATAAGTTAGAACTAGGGACTTGAGGACAAGAAAAGTTTGAAGCAGCTATTGGGACCATGCCAATGGTCTTTGTGATGAATTACAGGCCCAGTATGGAGGGCCAGTCCCCCAAAAAAGTGCTATCAGTGTTTCCCATTCCTTGTTTCAAGTCCTTATTAACAAGGAATGTGCCCTAACATTTTAGATCCTTATGAGATGTCTTTAAGGGAAAAACCACATAATAACCATAGACTCTTTTTATTCATTACAGACTATCTATTTAACTTTGCAACTGCTGCCACAAAAAAAATAACTGATTCAGTTGCTGAGACAGCACAAACAATAAAGAAGTCCGTAGAAGAAGGAAAAATAGATGACATCATCGATAAGGTATATTTAAATATCTTTTAGAAGTACAAATTTATGAAATTTGTTAGTAGCTGATATAATCATCTCTTCTTATGAATATTTTTTTTTTTGAGGCAGGTCCTCGCCTTTCTTTTGCCCAGAGCTGGTGGTGCCAATGAGTGTCAGCTAGCTCACAGCAACCTCAAACCTGCCCTGGGACTCAGACGATCCTCCTGCCTCAGCCTCAACCCGAGTAGCTGGGACTACAGGCATGCGCCCCACAATGCCCGGCTAATTAATATCTATATACTTTTTAGTTGGCCATTAATTTTTTCTATTTATGTAAGATGGGTCTCCACATTGCTCAGGCCGTATTCATCCTGACATCGTTGAGACTCCGCCTGCCCTCGAGCACATCCGAGTGCTAGGATATAAAGGCGTGGCCACTGCGCCTGGCCTCTTCTTATGAATATTTTTTAACCCAGGTAGGATACATATTATTCTGATAAAAAATATTAATTGTTGGCCGGGCGTGGTAGCTCAAGCCTGTAATCCTAGCACTCTGGGAGGCTGAGGAGAGTGGATTGCTCGAGGTCAGGAGTTCGAAACCAGCCTGACCAAGAGCGAGACCTCATCTCAACTATAATAGAAGAAATTAATTGGCCACTAATATATATAGAAAAACTAGACAGGCATGGTGGCGCATGCCTGTAGTCCCAGCTACTTGGGAGGCTGAGGCAGAAGGATCGCTTGAGCCCAAGAGTTTGAGGTTGCTGTAAGCTAGGCTGACGCCACGACACTCGCTCTAGCCTGGGCAACAGAGTGAGACTGTCTCAAAAAAAAAGAAAAAAAATATATTAATTGAGAGTCTTGATTTTTCTCTCTCTTTTTTTTTTTTTTTTTTTTAGACCAGAGTTCCTTGTTGACCAGGCTAGATGAGTGCCGTGGCGTCACCTAGCTCACAGCAACCTCAAACTCCTGGCCTCAAGCAATCCTTCTGCTCCAGCCTCCCGAGTTGCTGGGACTACAGGCATGGACCACCATGCCCGCTAATTTCTATATATATTAGTTGACCAATTAATTTTCTTTCTATTTTAGTAGCAGACGGGTCTCACCCTTGCTCCAGGCGGTTTTGAACTCCTGACTTTGAGTGATCCACCCGCTTGGCCTCCAGAGTGCTAGGATACAGCATCGAGCCACCATGCCGGCCTTTTTCCTTCTTCATTTGAATAAAATGAATCAAGTGTCTCAAATAGACTTCAAAAACCTCCAATGTAATTCTTACCTAATAAACGTTTCAAAGCAATTTAACTCTTTATGTATCTTTTTAACAGACAATTATAGGAGATTTTCAGAAGGAACAGAAAAAATTTGTTGAGGAGCAGCATACAAAGAAGTCAGGTATGGTATGGGTTTAACTGACTTAACCTGCCAAGTTTTATTGTGCACCTATTATGTGCCAGACAGCATGCTAAAGGCTCTGAGAATACAAACATGCATGCCTAATGGCGCCCATTTTTTGAGTAGCACAAAGACTAGTCGGGGAGACAAACTTGTAAACCTTCGAGATTTAAAGGAAGGGAGTAAATTGTTTTTCATGGCTGGGATGGTGGGTGAGGTCAGCCAGTGAAGGCCCACTGGGGACTGGCTCTGAAAGAGAATACGCTTTCATTTCTCACCTTCTACCACATGCCCAGTATGATGTACACCTAACAGGCATTTAGCAAGTGTTGGTTCCCTTCCTGTTCTCTTCAGGACAGAAAAAACAGAAGAGCTTTGCAGGGGAGTGACCGCACCTGCAGTGACAGAGGGCCATGAAAAGTCACAGGTGTTCAATACGTTTCTTCACTGACAAATGCCTGTTTTTTTTTTTTTTTATTATTTCTTTTTTTT